TGCACCAAGGCACACACTGTACTACTGTAACAATCGTGCAACCACACCCCCCCATACTCCCCCACCCCCCACCCCATTGCAGTGAGCTCAGGTGCTGCGGGTGCCCCAGTAAGATGCCGAGTGATGCTAATCAGCTCCTCGTGAGCAGTTAGTCTCTCCAGGAAAGTGCATGTTGCAGCAAACAGCGATCTCTCTCGGCTCCTGTGGATTTTTCATCCTGTGGAGTGCAATACTGTAAACCTTGACTAACACCATGGGACCCATACGAAGTGGCACTAGTGCTGCTGGAAGTGCCTCTGAGAAGCAGAGAAAAGTCAGGACATTGAAGGTGAATTGCTTGATAGGTACCATAGATTGAGGTCTGCAGCAGCAGCTGCCTGCCATTTTAAGATAAATGAATCCAGTGGAAGGACCATTGGGAGGAGGGTGGGAAAATAAAGAACTTTATGAAGCTGTTACTGCAGCTACACCAGCGGGTGTGAAAACCTAGCACGTTTTACAAAATGCATTTTTATCTTTATTGAAAATGCAGCTTTTATGTGGGTGCAGGATTGCTATAAGAAAGACATACCTATAGATCCTTAATAGGATTCAAGGAAAAGCGAAGTCGTTATATGCTATACGGAAGCACTAGAAGGAAGATAAAGGATCTAAAGATGCAGAATCAAAGGCCAGCAAAGGATGGTTTGATAATTTTAGGAAGAGGTTTGGCTTAAAAAATGTCAAGATAATGGGAGAAGCTGCTTTTGCCCACCTAGAGGCAACGAATGAGTTCCATGTGCCAGTGATAAAATCATTGGAAAGCAAAGATATCTGGCTAAAGAGGTTTTTTTTTAATTGAATTTATTGGGGTGACATTAATTAATAAAATTATATGGGTTTCAGATGTACAATTCTATAACACATCATCTGTACGTTGTATTGCGTGCTCACCTCCCAAAGACAAGTCTCCTTTTATCATCATTTATCTTCCTTTTATCCTCTTCTACTTCCCCAACCCTCTTTCCCTCTGGTAATCACCATACTGTTGTCTGTTTTTCCACCTACACAGGTTTTTCCTACTGGGGTGGAGAAGCCACAAAGGATATTTATTAGTAAGGATTGCCAATGACATGAAAGAGAACACGGTAGAGAGAACATAATGAAAGGCTGGGAGGATTACCCCACTAGAGATGCCATCATTTTTATAGAAAAAGGAAAAAAAAATCAAGCTGGGAACAGTAAATTCCTGCTGGAGAAAACTGTGTCTAGATGTTGTGCATGACCTCACGAGATTTATGAGAGGGCCCATCAAATAAATCACAGGAGAGATTGTGGATATGACTCCCCCAACAAAGGTGGGGTGTATAGGGTTTCAAGAGAGAGATCTTGGAGAAATTCAAGAGCTAACAGACCCCAATGTCCTGACTTTTCTCTCCTTAACAGGAGATAACTTGATGAGTGCTTCCGAACCCGTGACCTGACGATGAGAAAGATATCGACGAAGCATCAGAAAACAGATTGACCTCAGACCTTCAACAGAAGGGTTCTGATGATTTAAGACTGCTCCTGACTTCTTTTACAACACGGATCCTTCTGGGATATGGCACCGGCACTACAGCAGAATGGGTACCGTACAGAAACATTTTTAGAGAAATAAAAAAGCAAACATGTCGGGCAGAAATGACAATGTATTTCAGTAAAGTTACACTGAGTGTGCCTGCCTCCACTTCCTCCTTCCTTCCGCTTCTGCTACCCCTGGGACAGCAAGACCATCTCCCTCTTCCTCTGCCTACTCAACGTTCAGACAATGAGAATAAAGACCTTTATAATGATCCACTTCCACTTAACAAGTAATATATTGTCATAACACAGTATAGTTAATAAAATTATATGTTGTGTGTGGTGTGTGATTCCTGTGAAAATCTAATAACCTTGAAACATTTTTGTGTCGTCATCATGGCCTGAGTATTCATTGTGTGCAAGATGAAGTGCATAGGCTAGCCTTACAGAGGCATAAGGTGAGTGATCTTTTATATAAAAATAATGTGTTAATTTTCTTATTATTTTATGACTTGGCTTTCAAAGAATTACATTACTGTGTAGTATGCTGCCCCCTCTCTCTTAAATGGAGAAACTTAACAAGCCTATTATCACAGGTAAGTAGTATTTTTTAAAAAAGTAACAGTTTCCAATACTGTATTCAGACTGCAATACTGAATGCCATAGAAATTTTATAATGACTTTTTTTATTTGTGTAGAGGCTAAGCTACTGTGAAGCAATCATATCCATCATCCTAGGCTTCCATAAAGCAATCATTATGCTGCTTTTTTTTTTTATCAATGCATGAATCATTATACTTGTAAATGAATATGGATTTCTTTTGCACAGTATATTTTCATTTTTTATGCCTATGTTAATAATACATGTAACATGTACAGTGTTTTATACAAGTCAGTATTTATGTCGGTACTGACAGATGATTCATCTGATAAGCAGGTGACATAACTAACAATGTTGGCAAATACAGTAAATGTATATCCTCTTCCTTGTGATTGTCTTAGTAACATTTTCCTTTCTCTAGCTTACTTTATTGTAAGAATAGAGTATACAATGCATATAACATACAACATATGTGTGAATCAACTGTTTATGTTACTGGTAAGGGTTCCAGTCTACAGTAGGCTATTAGTAAAGATTCTGGGGAGTCAAAAGTTATACACGGATTTTTGACTGCATGGTGGTGGGTGCCCCTAACACCCCCATGGTTCAAGGGTCAACTATTTCCTTTCCTGTATCTATGAGGGTATATGCATCAGTTTTCTACTCCTGCAGGGTATTCTGTTGAGACAAAGACACAGAGAAAGATACAGCTTCTCTCCTTCGGGGACTCTCAATGTAGCCTAAAGCTCAGACAGGGAAATAAGAATTAGACTAGGGAGAAGTGCTGTAACAGAGATGTGAACAAAGACAGATACCAAGAAGGAAGTTCCCCTAGCCAGTTTGACTCAGTGGATAGAGCCTCAGCCTTGGGACTGAGAAGTCTCATGTTTGATTCCAGTCAAGGGTGTGTACCTTGGTTGCTGTCACATCCCCAGTAGGGGGTGTGCAGGAGGCAGCTGATCAATGATTCTCTCTCATTGATGTTTCTAACTCTCTATCCCTCTCCCTTCCTCTCAGTAAAAAAGCAATAAGATATATATATATTTTTTAAAAAAGAAGGAAGAAAGAAGTAACTGAGATATGATCCAGGAAGTTTAAGTGAGGAAAGGAAAGAAAGGAATTACCAGGGTTCAAGCAGCTTGATTCTTGATAAATCTCTGTCTCTAGTTTACAAGATCTGGAGCAGAAGTGGCAGCAAACATCTTCTCAAGTAATGACATATGAAAACCACAATTCTCTTGACCTTATGATCATCCCTATCACTGGCTTCTCTCCGCTGTGAAGGCTCTGAGCATGGCTGCCTGCCTCAGCCCTGGCTCAGGCCTTTTTCCTTCCATCCGGCCAGATCTGCTTTTCCTGATGCTGAGATTGCAAGGCAGTGACTTTTGATCCCTGTTAACACTCAAAACGGATAATGTTCCTCTTTCAAGATATGGTCTCAAGTGTTCTCATTACAGTGTGTAGTTTTCTGGGTAGTGGCCTGAAGCCTGTCTTCTCTCCCACAGATCTCTCACCAGGTGCCCCACCCTGACTGGTGTTAGGGACCATTCCTCAAGTTATAATCCTGGATAGAGTTCTTTTTTCTCTCCCTCCCCTACATCTTGGTTATGTGTCAGGAACATTTTAAATAAGACCTTTCTTTGTGTAGGTGTGTGAATGATTGAGGGTGACCTACAGGCAAACCATCATTACTGCTAGTGAAATCTACAAAGATGCAGCAGAGGCCAGATATATAAATATTATGTAATGGTGTACACTTTTTAATCCAGGAATTTTAAATATTTAACATCCTTACCATGTAGTTACATCAGTGATCCTAGAAATGAGACATCCCCTTTGCAAAAAAGCCCTCACTTTTCTCAGAAGACCCGTAACTTTAAATGAAATCAACAAAAAGTGACTTTAAAGTAGTATGAAATGAAAAAAAAAAAGAAAGCAATGTCTAAAATTAAAATAATTTTCCTTTCTATCAAAAGCTTGCTTCAATCCATTGATTCGTCAAATATTTATTGGCACCTACCTGTGGGCCCAGCTCTGGCTGCCGGTAGAATGGTAGAATTTCAGCTTGGCCACTTGGGAGCTTAGAGCCTACTATCCTTGGGCGTGTTATTTGGCTCTGTGTGCTGTAATTCCCTCTATAGAATGGATAGAAATGTGAGAATTATCTCCCAGGTTTCACATCAGAATTAAATAAGACAATGCATGTTATAATGCTCAAGAGTGTTTGACACCACATCAGTATAACAACTTTTATTTCCTTTCTGCCCTGCGGCTTAACGTCAAATATCTTTGAAGGACATGAGAAAATCCTCAAAGTGAAAACTTTGACTACATTAAGTTCTATCTAATGCCTCCTATATCTCTAAATCGGGGCATAAGGAGACCGATAGATAACCCTGAGTATTCATTGTGTGCAAGACTTGCATGGAAGTGCATACATAGCCTAACCTTACAGTGAGATTTCATATAAAAATAATGTGTTAATTTTAGTTCAGATAACCTAGGAGTAGTCTGGACTCCGGCAGGGACAGGGGCAAATCCCCTCCTGCTTTTCATCCTCCAGGTGTCTGTCCCTCTTAAGGATTGCCTGAGCCCTGCAAACGGATGGGCTTCTCAGACCTAAGTTCCAGGTCATCTCTAAAGATGCATCTCTCCGCCCACGCCCAGGTGTCTCCTAAACGCCCCTCTCCTCTCCTCCCGTGACCGGCGGTCCCCCGGCCCGGCCCCCCTCGCTGGGGTTTGCTACCCGGATCCCTTCCCGGACCGCCGCCTGCAGGGGGCCCCGCGCGCCCCTGCGCCGGGCGGGCGGGCGGGGCGGCCCGGCCCCAGCGCGCATGCTCCGGTGGCGGCGGTGCGTGGGCGGCGGGCGGGCGGCCGGGCGCCGGCGCAGGGCCCTCGCTCGCTCGGCGGGAGGTCCGGCTCTGACGTCGGTCTCGCAGCGGCGAGCGCGCGCCCCGGGCGGCGGCGACCTGGAGACCCCCGAGCGATGGAAGCGGCGGCGCCGACGGCGGCCGAGGCGGCGGGGCACGAGGAGCTCGGTGGGTGCCGCGTGCGGGTGGGCCGGGCGCGGGATGCGCGGAGGCCCCCCGGCCTGCGCTGTGGCCTGGGCCGGGGAGGCGGTGCGGGCGCCGGGGCCGCCGGGACCCTGCCCGGGGTTCAAGCTGCCAGTCCCTGGAGAGGGAGGGCCACCCCCCCCCCCCCCACCCCCCTACCCCCCCCCCCCCCCAAAAAAAAAAGAAAGGAAGGAAGGAAGGAAGGAAGGAAGGAAGGAAGGAAGGAAGGAAGGAAGGAAGGAAGGAAGGAAGAAAAACGCCTGGCTGCTTCTGTGTGCCAGGCACTGTGTTAGGCGCGGGTTTGACTTGAGAACCAGCAAGGCAGACCGTCCCCAGACATTTGGGACGAGCTGTGAGGCCTGGGAGGTTACTGACCTCCGTGTCAGGGTCTGCGGAGGGGTGTGTGTGTGTGTGTGTTCAACAAAGAGACGATAGGAAAGTCATTTAAGGAAAGACATTTTTATTTGGGCTCATGGGAGGACATCGCCGGGGAGAGTTCCAGGAAGGGGATGTGTATGTAGGGGGGGAGGTGGGAGAGAAAAACACAGCCCAGCACCAGCAGTTCTATTGGTTATATACGTTCAAGGATGAACGGTGTTCATCAGGTGGAGAGAATCTACAGGTAATACGGTCGCGGAGCACCTGTAGTCAGGAGCCTTGGGAAGCAATTACGTTTACATTATATCAGGATAAGGAAAGAACGGGCATTGCCTTCTGTCATTATTTACCTTTTTAATTGGAACTGTTGGCGCGTACGTGGCCAGCGCCACGGAAGGCCTTGGTGAGGATTTACGGTGTTCCCTTGGTTACGAGTCAGTTGGAGCGGTGTGTGTGCTGGGGGTGGGGTGTGCTGTGCCCTGTGTGTGTGTACACATCACAGCTAATGGTTTCCAGCTGTCAAAGAGGAAACAAAAGTGAAGCTATTGCTCCTCTTAGTTAAATGCATTATATTTAGGGGATATTTTTAATTTGATGCTAAATGATTGAAAAAGAAGTTGAGTTTTTAAGAAATACTTCATTACAGTAACTAGTTGGTTGACATTCCTCTAGTGCAGGGCACTTCAGTTTGATATCTTTTAAGTCACAATCATGGTAGAAATAAATGCAGCGTTTTATTGAATGTTTGCTGTGGATCAATAGTGTGTTAAGTAAGTGCTTTACATATGTGCATTACCTCCTTTAATCCTCACAACAGCGGGGTGAGGTAGGTGCTCCTGTTATCCCCATTTTATAGATAAAATAATTTAAGTTCACTAATGGCAATCCAGATACGAATCCAGGTTTATCTGACTTTTTTCTTTTTATTGAATTTATTGGGATGACATGATTAACAAAATTACACAGGTTTCAGGGACATAATTCTACAACATTATTTGACTTTCAAATTCATCAGTAACCTATCTAGGTGAGGATGTGAGGAAATGTGTATTCTCATGCATTGTTGGTAAGAGTAGTATAATGCATTTATCCTTAAAAATGCACAGCCTGACTGGCTCAGTGGCTGAGTCTTGCCTGACCTATGAACCAGGAGGTCACAGTTCAATTTCCACTGAGGGTACATGACTGGGTTGTGGGCTCCATCCCCAGTAGGGGGCATGCTGGAGGCAGCCGATCACTGATTCTCTGCTATTCTTGATGTTTTTATCTTTGTCTCTTTTCCTCTCTGAAATAAAAAAAGAAATATATACACATACATACATACATATATTTAAAAAGACACATATACTTTAATTCAACAATTATACTTCTAGAATATTCCCTAAGGAAATAACAGATATTTATGTCAAGAGGGATATCCATTACAGTATTTATAATAAAGAAAAGCTGGTGACTATCTAAATATTCAATTAAAGGAAACTGTTTAGGTAAATTGTGGTATGGCCACAGAGCCATGTTCTGAATAGCCATTAAAAGTAATATGAGAAGATATCCAATGTATGTATTTTTTATTAACTGAAAAGAAAGGTTCCAGGTTATTTTAATTTTTAAAAAATTTATGTCTGTTTGTTAATTCAGCACATTTATTGAGCTGCTCCTCAGTGCCAGGCACTGGTTTAGGCATCTGGGGCACATTCATGAACAAGATTCTTGCTCTCATGGAGCTTATATTCTAGTAAGAGAAAGCAGACAATACTCAGTTGATTATATAATATGTTAGGTGAAAAGCGCTATTTTGAAGAAATGAAAATGGAGAAATAAAAGCAGAGTAAGGGAAATGAGGAATGAGGGTGGGGGCTGAGTAGTTCGTAGTATTTTATGAAGTGGTCAAGATGGACCTTATTGAAAAGGTGAAATTTGAGCAAAGATTTGAAGAGGTGAGGTGATTAGTCAAGTGGATATCTGGAGGAAAGACCATTCCAGGCAGAAAGAACAGCTAAAGACAGAAATATCAAGGAGGCCAAGTGGCCCAAGCGAAGGATCAAGGACGTGGTGAGGCCGGAGTATGTAGGGTCTTGAAGGTCATGTAAAGACTTTGGCTTTTGCTCTGAGAGTACGGGGAGCCAAGCAGGGTTTCAGCAGAGGAGTGACATGATCTGACTTAAATTCTACAAGGATTGCACTGGCTACCGTGTGAAGAATAGACTGTAAGGAGCAAAAGTAGAGGCCGAAGGGTATTTCTGCAATTCAAGAAAGATTTACACAGTAGTCCTTCACAGCAGTGTTAGGAGTAGCAGAGGGAGTGGAGAGAAATGGTTAGACTATATGTTTTGAAAATAAAACCAGAATGATTTTTTAACAGATTGAATGAGAGACAAGGAATTACGATCAACTGAGATTTTACAGTGTTTTGTAATGTAACTAGAGGCCTAGTGTATGAAATTCGTGCATGGGTGTGTGTGCACGTGCACTCCTCAGCCCATCCTGCACCCTTTCCAATCTGGGATCCTTCTCATAATCCAGAACTGCTGGCTCCCAACTGCTTGCCTGCCTGCCTGATTGCCCCTAACCATTTCTGCCTGCTAACCTCATCACCCCCTCCCTAATCACTCCCCTACCAGCCTAATTGACACCTAACTGCTTCCCTGCTGGGCAATTGCCCCCACCTGCCCTCCCCTGCTGGCCTGGTCACCCCTAACTACCCTCCCTACCAGCCTAGTTTCCCCTAACTGTCCTCCCTTGCAGGCCTGGTTGCCCCAAACTGCCCTCCCCTGCAGGCCTGGTTGCCCCTAACTTCCCTCCCTTGCCAGCCTGGTTGCCCCTAACTGCCCTCTCCTACTGGCCTGGTTGCCCCCAACTGCCCTCCCCTGCAGGCCTGGTCACCCCCAACTGCCCTCCCCTGCTGTCCATCGTGCAATGGTCATCTTGTGTCCACATGGGGGCTGCCATCTTGTGTGTTGGGAGTGATGGTCAATTTGCATATTACCTCTTCATTATGTAGGATATATCTTTAGTGTTTATAGTATTATTTGACATTTCTCTCATGATGAGGAACTTAATTTCCTTCCCACTGAGTTATGGGCTGGATTTAATAACTTGCTTCTAATGAATAGATTATTGTGGAAGTGAAAATGTGCGACTTCAGACCTCAATTCTAATTGGCATTGTGCCTTGCTCCCTCTCTTTTGGATTCACTTACTTGGGAGGAGGCTGGCTACCAGGTTGTAAGAATCCTTACACAGCCTTGGGGAAGGACCCCCTTGAATGGAATGGAGGCCTCCTGACAATTGCCATGAATTGTTGCAAAGCAGTAGGTAATCAGGACGGATGGGTAAAGCCACAGGAGGAGCAAATTTGGTGGTGAAGACCAGGAGTTGAGTTTGGGGAAATGCTAAGTTTGAGATGTCTGTTAGACATGAAAGTGCAGATGTTGAGTGGACAATTGGATTGTTTCTGGAGTGAGTGAGAGGTCTGGTCTGGAGAAATAAATACGAAGTCCTCAGCAAAGAGAGCATGTAAAGCCATGGGACTAGATGAGAACATGGAGGTTGGTTTGTTAATACTCTAAAATGTTACCAGTAGTACCTTCCAGGTATGAGGTAAATTTAATTACAAAAATGATCCTTATCTATATATTTCCTGATTGTGTACAATGACCAAATATTTCACTTAAAAAAGAATTTTAAAAATCATGTGGCTATGTGAAAAGCATTGGTGGAGAAGTTAAGATATAGGTTTCCTTAAGCCAGTGGTCAGCAAACTCATTAGTCAACAGAGCCAAATATCAACAGTACAACGATTGAAATTTCTTTTGAGAGCCAAAATTTTTAAACTTAAATTTCTTTTAACGCCACTTCTTCAAAATAGACTTGCCCACAACGTGGTATTTTGTGGAAGAGCCACACTCAAGGGGCCAAAGAGCCGCATGTGGCTTGCGAGCCGCAGTTTGCCGACCACGGCCTAAAGTTGGCTTTCTAAATAGTGTAAGGTCTGTATTTCACTTCATAGACTATGGGGACCTCTGGAAAGTTTCTTGCTGTGCATATTTCTCCGCCTCAGAAATGAGTAAAATAGTTACTGTTCCCATCTTATGTAGATACTAGTTTATAGATTTAGTGGCAATATTATTGTATGTTATTTTAAAAGTAAACTTTTTTACTTCTTTTCATTTGTCCATTGACAAAATATAAGTAAATGATTTTCTTTATTTTGGTGTTATAAAGTAGCCAAATTGATTACTTATTATTTTTTACATTTTCCAGAGAAAACCATACCCAGGATCTCATTATCCATTTGAGATCCTTGTTAACTTATTAGCATTTTGATATATTTTGTGTCTTTCGTTTTTATTTAACTTTTTAAAACATTATCTCATGGACGCTAGAAGACAAGAAACAAATCATTTTAAAATGCTGAAAACAATTCTACCAACCTAAAATTCTGTACCCAACAAAAATAGTCTTCAAAACTAAAACAAGCAAAAACAAAACAAAACAAAACAAAAAAACCCCAAACAAACATTGTTGTACTAATGCTGTGATTATTCGGCTTTTTCTCCACTCAGCATGTGATACACTTTTGCCTGTTTTACTCAGACTTCAAAACCATAATTTAATGTTATTGTAATACTTTACAAAGTGGATGCATTGTGTAGTTAATTTAGCAATTTCCTGATTGTTGCACATTTAGGTTGTTTCCTCATTTTTAACAGAAATTATGTTTCATTTAACATCTTTGTGCAGAAATTATTTTCTTCATCTAGCTTTTCAGAAGTGGAATTATCAGGTGAAAAGGATAAACATTTTAAGGTTTCAATGCATATTGCTAATTTGTGATTTTTCTGATTAAATTTGGAAGTTTAGGTTGACTTTAGTTTAGGAAATTCAGGTTGAAATTATTGTCTGAACAATATAAGGTCGTCTGCCACTATTGTATATATATGGGTATAATATATAGTGTATAATACTGACTAAAGCTATGTCTATTTATAAGTTTTCCATATGTAAATAGGAATAATTAGGTCTAGGTAACTTGACATCCATTGCTTAGTAGTATTTTATAAAGCAGTGTTAACTTTTACTTACAATAATCACATAGCATTTTGAGAGGTTTGCAATTCAGCACTTGATCAAAAATTACAGCAAGACATTGGCAAATAATAGACTTTATATATAATGCAAATTGGATTTTATAATTTTAAATTACTTTGTATGATTTTATTTCTTATGTTTTAACTGTTAAAGCTTTTACTATGTTAGGTTTTCTTAAGTATTTGACTCCTTTACTAATATATTTCTTTCTGGCTGGCATAACACATTTTGTTTATCTTTGTAGACTCAGTATTAGCTCATAAATGCTCAGAATTATTACTAGTAAATTAATTTCTTGTCACAGCTTTACAGTTAAAAATTCTGTGTAGCATAATTTGCTTCTAATATATCATTTTATTAGAAGGGGAAGGAAACTATTAGTTATTGATTACTATGTGCCAGGGGCTAGGTTCCAGGCTTCATATACATGTCATCTCATTGTCGTGAAACCCTGTGAAGTAGAAGTTATTACTCTCATTTGACACAATGCAGAGATAGTAGGTCCAGAAAAATCCTGGTTAAAATATAAATCAAATCATGCCATTCCTCTGCACAAAACTCTCTACTCTGATGTTGTCTAGTATGGTAGCCTTTAGTTATATATGCATTTGAAATGTGGTTTGTCCAAATTAAAACAGACTGTATATATAAAATACACATTGGATTTCCAAGACTTAGTACGAAAAATAGAATGTAAAATATCTTGTTAATAATCTTGTATATTAATTACATGTTGAAATGATAATACTTCAGATATATTGGATTAAATAAAATATATTATTAATTTCACTTGTTGCTGTTTTCCTTAAGAAACATGGTTACTAGAAAATTTAAATTATGTTTGTGGCTCACATTGTATCTCTGCTGGTCAACACTGCCTAGTGGCCTTCATGTCTGTTGGTGTGGTCTCCAAGGCTGTATACCATCAGCCTTGTCATGCTCTGATCTCCTCTCCCACTGCACGCCCCTCGCTCACTCCTCTCTGGCCACCTTCCTGCTCACACACCAGACTCTCCACGTCACTAGAGCCGTTGCCTTTGTTCTTCCCACCGCCTGATTGCTCTTCCCTGAGGTGGCTGCAGTGTTCACTCTCACCCCGCCTTCAGGTCTTCTTTAAAACCTCACTTTCTCAGTGACTATCTGATGTAAGATTACAGGCTCCACCTTCCTTAACCCAAATCAGGCTTAAGTTTCTCTTCTAACTGTCCCAGAGCACCCTACAATCCCCCTGTAACAGAGTTTAACACATCGTACTATGCTAGTAATGGTCAATTTTACTTGTACGCATTCTCTACTAACTGATAGGAAAGATGTTAAAAATTTGTGCCTGTAAAGGATACATAGAAGTTTTGTACTATTCTTGAAAATTTAATATAAATTTTAAAGTATTCAAAAATAAAAAGTTTTAGAAGTTATGTTAGTAATTTCCAACTAAATCATTTTGTTTGCCTCAGCTCTTTATTATGTAGGTTTATTGTATTTGAATGAAACAAACTTTCATGTCCATAAACTATCCTGTATTTCAGACTTTACTAATGCATATCAGTCATCTCAATAAATCTGAATTTAGTAAATTTTACTAGAACAGGACCGAGTGATGACTAGTTGCTTTTTTCCTTGAAAGGAGCAAAATCATGCTAAAAATGCTATCTATCTATCTATGCAAATTTTGGTTCTAAAAATGTAATGGTTGGAATGGATTTATAATTTTAAGTATTTGAAAATATTACTTTATATATAGTATGATTTGAAGATAAGGTAAAAATTCATTTTGTTATTTCTTCACATTTCTCATAATTCTATGACCTTTATTGTAAAACTCATGTAGACAAAGCAGAAAACATTTTGCATTGAATACTTATTTGCACTGCTTAGTCCAAAAAAATATCCAGCAAATAAGTGTATTAATTAGTTGTTTCTTTTTAAATATACTAAAACTCAGGATATTAATGTGCATTAACTTACGGTAAAAATAGTAAAGATGAGTACCAGTGGTATGTACTACTTAAAAATTAATTTATACTAGCTTTATCCCACTTTTAAAAATAATAGTGGAGTTCTTTGTTTTTCTCTTTAAAGATATGGATGTAATGAGGCCCTTAATAAATGAGCAGAATTTCGATGGGACATCAGATGAAGAACATGAGCAAGAGCTCCTACCTGTTCAGAAGCATTACCAGCTTGATGATCAAGAGGGCATTTCGTAAGTGTTATGGTTTACATGTCTTCTTTTCTTTTCATTCAGTATATATTTTTTAATCGTCTATGGGCAAGGGACCCTGTTAGATACTACAGAAGACACAAAGATGGATAAAACATAGTTTCTGCCCTCAAGGTGATTACAGTCTATTTGGGAAAGAACAAATACATCTAAAATTACAGAGTAGTGTATAGGAATTACCAATGGTGATACAAATAAAAAGTTAATGATCTTGAAGGGAGATCTTATTGAGAGGAATATAAATTTTAAGAGCAGTTGCTTCTGAAATAGGAGTTAGATCATGGAAGGTAGATAGTAAACCCTTCTTTATGCAGTTGAACTTTTAAAAAATTTTCTTATTTTATCATTAATAGATTTAAGTAAGTTCTTATTCTAGAAGTAATTAATGATTTAGCAAAGTAATGTTTTAATTGATAAGAAAAGAATAGCATAGATTTAAAAAGTTTAAACATTTCTATTTCCTAAGTTTAAAGTTTAGGTTAGTCTTCCTAGTTTATTTTTTACTTGATCAAGAGACCTCCTTCAAATGCGTCTTTAGAGGAAACTTTTCTTAGGTGAAACCCCTTAGGGAGTTCATAGTCTAAAAGTTAACCAGTATTTATTTTATCTGATGATACACATTGTTTTAAAACTTGTATGTTTTTTCTTTTAATTAACTTCCTCTTATGTTCATCATAGATCATAGATCCAATATGTTTAGCACCATAATTACATAGACAATGTCAGTAAATTGCTGTCTTACCAACCTAGCTATATAATCTTTAGTATTGTTCTGAATATAATAGCAGCAAAGAATCTTATGAGAAAATTACCTTTTCTTTATTACTTTAACTAGAGGCTTGATGCACAAAATTTGTGCAAGGGCCTTGGCCCTGGCCCCCACCTGCCACCACCATGGCTGGGGGGCCTCTGCCACCTCTGCCTCAGCTTTGGAAGGAAGGAAAGACGTCTGGTCTGATTAGCATATTATGCTTTTATTATTATAGATATGTACAAAAATCCTTTTACTTAAATATCTCATTTAATCTTTATAATGATATTAGGTGTTTTACTGTTATTGTATTTTTATTCTTTATTTATTTTATTTTCCTGGTCACGTTCTTAGGTAGTATTGAGAACTCTTTTTTTTTTTTTTTTTTTTTTTTAATAAATTAAAACCACTATTAAAAAATTCAATCAGTTGTATTTTACTTTTAAATGGCAAAGATGGGACTTGACTTGAACCAAATATGACTTCTGGCTCATTTAACTTCTGGTTGAATGGAGATTTTGATTCCACACCTAGATTAATTTTTAGTTATCTCCTATTGCTAAAACCATGATCATGTAATTTTAATAGCTTTTGTTCTAAGATATTTGAATCTCACAACTTTTACTTTTCAGATTTTTACAAACTCTTATGCATCTTCTTAAAGGAAATATTGGAACTGGCCTTTTAGGACTTCCATTGGCCATAAAAAATGCAGGCATCGTGGTAAGACTTATCATTGTGCTCTGTAGTTACCATACAGCTGTCAGCCTTAATTTACAGCAAAAATTACCACAAATTAACATCTGGCCTAGTCAACTAAAACATGGTCAAGTGATGAACAGTAATCATTCAGCCATTGTATTAATAAAGTTATGGCAATTATGATAATAGTTTCTAACCATGACAGTTAATTACTCTTTGCATTTCAACTTAATTAGTAATATGTATTATTTGACAGAAAGATCCTAAAACAGTACTTTAGTTTACAGGCATGTTTATATCTTACTATTATTGAATTTTTAGGGATTTACTAGTAAGCAGTATACACATACAACACATTTATTTATAGAGAAGATTATTTGTATTAGTGAACTTATAGTTTTTTAGATTCAGAATAAAATACCTAGTTTTCAGATTTAAAGAAAAATAGTTAAAAAAAGGAGTAACATATTCTGAAAACAAATATTTAAGTATTAGAACCAATTATTATAGTTGCAGAGACTCTAGATAGGGGAGAATTCACTTAAGAAGTAATGAAATTATATTTAACCCTTTTTTAAATGACCAGTTTTCTAAAAAACAATTTTAATGTCATTCTTCTCTGCATTTGACTTTGTTCATGCTAATTTAGAGAAACTTAAAATTTTCCAATTGTAAAATGAACTTTGGCAATATTTTGTCTGTGTCTCAGCAACCCCAGAATAACTTCAATTTTAGTAATACTTTGAAGTTTATGTACCATTTTTTCAAATAATTATTTTCTAGGCACAGTTCTTCACACATAGTAAGTGCTCAATAAGCAGTCTATAGAAGTGGATTGTCCACAATCCCAGATTGATAAGAGTGCTGTTTTAGTCATTCAGCGGTTGCCAACAGGTGGTCTGCAGACCACTGGTGGTCTGTGAGGTCTGAAAGGTTGGCAACTGCTGATTTAGATAATGATTCATAGTTGCATGTAATTATTTTGGTGGGGCACTGGTAGTGGTAGACATGCCATCTCATGTTAAATAATATGTATTCTGTCCTATTTGGTTGCATATCTATCTGTACTCTGTATTCATAAGTTTAGACAGCCCAGTTGATAAGATGGAATTATATGTGGTTAAGTATTACTGGAATTCTTTTTATATTTTATTAGTTTTCCCACATAAAAATAATTACTTAATCATTTTGTCCAACAAATATTTATTGGCAAATTTGTGGTTTGTTTTTATTGCTTATAAGGCAACTTAAATTTTGTGAAACTTACATATTTAAATCTTATAATTTTTCCCCTACAGCTTGGACCAATCAGCCTTGTGTTTATAGGAATTATTTCTGTTCACTGTATGCACATTTTGGTACGTTGCAGTCACTTTCTCTGTCAGAGGTAAATGTGGATTCATTAAGTCTATTTAATTTATTTTGAAGCTGTGTAATTATTTTAAGTAATAGATAGTCTTATATTTCTACATTGCTTTGCAACTAGCAGTTGTGTTTCCTATAATCTGTTATAGAAACAAGTTTGAGAGAATGAATTTGGAAAATGGTAGCATTTTAAATGGTTGAAATCTGGTCAGAGTATATTTACTTATTTTAAAATATAACCTTGCCCAAGCCTATGAACATAGTGGTTAGAGCAAAGGCCCACGCACGGAAGGCTTGTGGATCTGGTTTCAAGGACATGTATCTGGGTTGTATGTTCTATCCCCAACCCTGGTTGGGGCTCTTGTGGGAGACAACCAATCAATGTGTCTCTCACATTGTTGTTTCTCTTTCTTATGCTCTTTTCTCCCCCCCCCCCCCATCCTTTTACCTTCCCTCCTTCTCCCCCCTCTCCTTCCTTCTTTCCCATCCACTCTCTCTAAACGTCAGTGGAAAAAATACCTCAGGTGATGATTAACAAAAAATGATAAAGTAAAATATACCCTTGTTGGCCTTGGCTTGGTAGCATAGTTAGTTACGGTGTCATCCTGACACACCAAGGTTGCAGGTTCAATTTCCAGTCAGGGCACATACAAGAAGCAAGCAATGAATGCATAACTAAGTGGAACAACAAATTGATGTTTCTCTCTCTCTTTCTCTCTCTCTAAAAATAAATCAAATAAAAATATTGCCCTATTAGTCATAGAATGGTTTCTTTTATGAGAAAATCAGGAAAGATATATGGGGAAATGGAGGAAGCAGTACTGCTTTTAGTTAGAGTGTAATGATCTCCAATTTGTTAGTAATTCAGTTTGGGGTATAATGACTGGTGTTCTTTGCTGATATGTGGATTGGTAGATAGTTCATAAAATAATATCCTTTTTAAAAAATATATATATTTTATTGATTTTTTACAGAGAGGAAGAGAGAGAGATAGAGAGCTAGAAACATTGATAAGAGAGAAACATCGACTAGCTGCCTCCTGTACATCCCTACTGGGGATGTGCCCGCAACCAATGTACATGCCCTTGACCGGAATCGAACCTGGAACCTTTCAGTCCGCAGACTTATCCACTGAGCCAAACTGGTTTCGGCAATATCCTTTTTTCTTTATCTTTTATCATGAAATGCTTCTACTTTACAATGGACCACTTTTAAAAAATAAACATTGTCTATTCTAGTAAACTGAAATTCTTGGTTATTGTTGTTAATCCTCACCCAAGGAAATTTTTCCATTGATTTTTTTTTTTTTTTTTTTTTTTTGACATAGTGGAAGGTATGGGGAGAGCCCAGAGAGAGAAACATCGATGTGAAAGTGACACGTCGATTGCTTGCCTCCTGCATGTGGCCTAAAGGGGCTGTGGATGGAGCCTATAATCACGGCCCTTGATTGAGCCAAACCGGCTAGGGATAGTAAACTAATATGGGCTTACTTTAAGGATTAAAGAAAATAGGTTATGTGAAAATAATTATACAGATGTGTTAAGTAATGCTATTCTAAGAAGGGAATAATTTAAGCATGAACAATGTTTTCAGGTAATGGAAATATTCAAATCCATGGAGCACAACTATTATATCAATTCTACAAATATGTAAACTTCAACAGTAGATAAAACTAATATATTGGTAATAAGGACTGATAAAATTTTTAAATTTCATGAGACATACTTTATGCAGATCTTGAAATTTAAAAAACTCTCTCTGGGCATGCCCCTATAGTCATTAATTCACATTTATTTGATGTTCTTTTGAAGGAAAGGATTTATGAACCTACTTGAATTTATTTTCATATCCATGTATGTCATTAAATTACAGGTTTAAAAAGTCAACATTAGGCTATAGTGACACTGTGAGCTATGCTATGGAAATAAGTCCTTGGAGTTGTCTTCAGAAGCAAGCAGCATGGGGACGGCAAGTACTTGTTATATTATTAATATCTGGTTATTGGAATTACATTAATTTTAAGTATTTTAACCTATAAATGCTGTCAATTTATACATGAATAAAAGTATGATAAAGTTGGGGGAATAAACATAATCTTTTTTAAAAAATATATTTTGATTTTGTACAGAGAGGAAGGGAGAGAGATAGAGAGTTAGAAACATCCATGAGAGAGTCATCGATCAGCTGCCTCTTGCACACCCCCTACTGGGGATAGCCCGCAACCAAGGTAATGCCCTTGACCGGAATAGAACCCTGGACCTTTCAGTCCCCAAGCCGATGCTCTATCCATTGAGCCAAACCAGTTTCAGCAACATAATCTTTAGAGTTAGACTTGAGATCAGATCTCAACTCTACCATTTTTCAATTTTATGACCTTGGACAAATTATTTTGTTTTAGTTTTCTCACTATCAAATGAGTTTAAATAATACTTGCTTCACAAGCTTACTGCAGTAGTTTAAATAAAGTAATATTTATGAAGCACCTGGCAAACTTCTATAATAATAAAAATGTAACCTGATAATTAGACCAGACGTCCTTTCGGACTACCTTCCAGATGAAGCCGGGGCTACGAGGGAAGCCCAGGTCCCGGGTGCCAGAGGGAAGCCTGTGCCTGCAGCTGGGGGGAAGGAAGGCCTACTCTTGCATGAATTTTGTGCAATGGGCATTTAGTATGATATGATCATGTTTAGTAATTTTTCAAGTAAAAGAAAAAATTTTTCAAGAAAAGAAAATTATGCTGTTTAGCTACATGCTTAGAAGACATCTGAAGTATGCATTTTAGGATATTCTTATCTTATTGGTTAAATATAATTCTATCATTGGTGGACATGGTTAATCAAAGCCCGGAAAAATAAGCATAGATGATCAACAAAATGCTGAGTGTGGTACAAATTATATGTGCAGTGAAAATTAAAAGAAAGAATAGTGTTAGTTTATGGTTAAATGTGGCCTTCCTAGGGATTTTTAGGAGTTTAGATATATTTATGAGCTGCTCAGAGTTCTTAATATGCTGAGTAGGAAAAGGAAGAAAACAGTCTCAGGCCCTAGGGATTTTCCCCAAGAACTGTATCTTCCTCCTGCTCCAGTCCAAAGGCAGCTGTGTCATGTTTTTTTAATCAAAAGAATGACTTTACATTGAAGTGGTTGGAATGATTATTGGTGGGATACTAATGTCAAAGATAAATGAAGAGACCTTAAGGTAATACTTAAATGTAATTCATCAGAGAGAAGAAACCTGAATTCATTTCGGGTACCAAAATTACTTTCAAAAGAGGTACCTGAGGAACCATGGAGAACTGTAGAGATAGGGCCAGAATGAAGATATAGGCAAGGGCTCTTTTAGTTTCAAATGGCAGAAGGAGGGTCTGTAGATTTGCAGATAGGATTATTTGACAGCTTGACACTTATGATCAGATGATAGATTATAATGAATTAGTAGGTGCATGCTATTGTAGTCATTTATTGTTCCCAGAACAAAATTGAGAATCTTGCCTAGCCTAGTGACTCAGTTGGTTGAGTGTTGTCCTGTACAACAAAAAGGTTGTGGGCTTGAATCCTGCTCAGGGCACATACTTTAGTTGCCAGTTTGATCCCCAGTTGGGACACATACAGGAGGCAATTTATGGATGTTTCTCTTTCATGTTGATGTTTCTCTCTCCTCCCCCTCTCTAAAATCAATAAAAATATCCTTGGGTGAGGATGAAAAAGATGAGAAGTATGGGCTATATATTAATATGTAGACAAATTTGTGACTTAACTGCCATACCCAAATAATGCTATCGGGTCTAGTAATAATTAATGTCGTTTTTAAACATTCGTTTAAAATCTTGCTTGGCGTTGACTTGTATTGACAGAACCTTCAAACACGTGGTATCTACAGAACGTGTGAAGTGCAATTAACAAGTTTTGCTTGAAAAAGTTTGTGTTTGGTTTGGTTTTTGTTGCAAAACTAGGGCTAAAAAGATGGCGGATGAAGAGCATATTCGGCACTGCATGCTTTACGAGTTCCAATTAGGAAGAAAAGCAAGTGAGGCTGCAAAAAACATCTGTAGTCCTCTTGGTCAAGATGCAGTTAGCGCCAGAAAATGCCAGCGTTGGTTTGAGAAATTTTGCGAGGGAAATTTTTCGTTAGATGACAAGAGTGGTCGAGGCCGTGTGTCCAATTTTGATCAAGAAGCTCTTCAAGCTCTTTTGGTGCAAAATCCTCAAATTACCCAGCAAGAGCTTGCAACAACTTTAAATTGTTCACAGAAAACAATTTCCAATCAATTGCGTGCACTTGGCAAAGTCCAAAAGTTTGGAAAATGGGTTCCTCATGAGTTGACCAACAACAACCGTAATCAAAGAGTCACAATTTGCAGTTCGCTCCTCTCTCGTCAAAACCGTTTGCCGTTTTTAGAGCAAATTGTTACCAGAGATGAACAATGGGTGCTGTATGTTAATTTGAAAAGGCGGCCTCAATGGTTGGACAAAAATGAGGCTCCGCAGCCCACGCCAAAACCTGACTTGCATGCGAAAAAAGTGATGTTGTGTGTTTGGTGGAACTTTAAAGGAATTCTTCATTATGAACTTTTACCATCTAACCAAACCATTACAAGTGCAGTGTATAGTGCCCAATTGGAAAGGTTAGCCCAAGCTTTAAGAGAAAAAGAACCCGCACTGATTAATCGGAAGGGCGTAATTCTTCACCACAATAATGCACGACCGCATACTGCAAGAATCACTGCTGAAAAACTGCGCCAGTTGGAATGGGAAGTTCTCCCTCAACCTGCATATTTTCCTGAGATTGCCCCTTCCGATTACCATTTGTTTCGTTCTTTGCAAAACTTCCTTCTTGGAAAAAAATTTAATAATGAAGAATGCCTCAAAAATGCATTGACCGAATTTTTTGCATCAAAATCACAAGAATTTTACAACGGAGGGATTAAAATGCTTCCTGAGCGTTGGGCACAAGTAGTAGAAAACAACAGCAACTATATTGTTGATTAAATTTTGTTGTATTGTCTAAATAAATTCGATTTAAAGTTGTATAAAACGACATTAATTATTACTAGACCTAATAATTTGGTGATATCTCTTAACCTTCCTCATACACTGTTTTGTGTAGCTGGAATTTTATAGGTAATCTCTTCAGAAAATAAGGACAGAGCTAAGCTATTGAAGAGGTCTCCAATGGCATGATTAGGGCCATGCCCCCAGTCCTCTCCGATTCCATGTTATTAGTGATTTGATAGTAGAGAGTGATATTTGCAAATGACATGAAGATGGGAGGCTTTGGAAATACACTGGGTTAATCTGAAAAATACCTTGAGAAGTAGAAGAGATATGATTAATTTAAAAGAAGAAATGTTTTCATTAAATCATTTTATAAGTATATACTCACAAACTGTTGAATTTCAGAAATAAGTGATGGGAAAATTTTGGCCTTTTAACTTAATGAAACAGTCTTTTTTCCTCAGTAGTAATTGTAGTGATATACTGATCATAAAAGTGTGCTTTTTGTAGAAAATACTTTAATTATTTTTTATATTAAGGATGTGAAAAGAACATACACTATTATAATGTTTTTAAGTAGTTAAAAAGAAAATAGATATTGATATTTCAGCAGCTCTTATTAATACTCATTTGTGGGTATGTCTTTTTAGGAGTGTGGTTGACTTTTTTCTGGTGATAACACAGCTGGGATTCTGTAGTGTTTATATTGTCTTCTTAGCTGAAAATGTGAAACAAGTAAGTATTTTTCTCCAGTTATTGAAATCGTTTTCTTCCAATGCCATAATTTAGCATCATGTTTCCTCTGAGTAAGCCGTGGCCAAATATGCAAATGTGTTTCTTTCATTAAGCATGTTTCTTTGTAGATTTTCCTTTAGTTGGATTTCTGCTATTATTGCTGATCTTACTTTTCTTATCATTATATCAATAATGCTTGTTCATTCGGATCAGAACAGGACATAATTTACTGAATCTTAGCTACCTGAAATTTAGGTACACAGATGTTCGGGAGCATATTCTTTACATTGATGTTTTATAAAGACATACAAGGCTTTAGCCAGCGGCCTAAAGAGTGAAGTACAAAAGTGGATATTACTAAAATGCAACAATTATTGCCATGGTCTAAAGAGATGCTGTGTCCAGGAGTGTACAGTGTTCTTTAATTTTCTCCATATGTAAATGTTTGCTTTAAGAGGAAGTGGTTTGCAGTCTTAATAGAGACTGTTGATTTGAACAAATATGCAAAGCACTGAAATAAAAAAGCTCCTCTATCGAAACAGTGATAGAGCACATTTCTTTATGTGCTTTCACTGGTAGTTTGTCTTTATTATTCCTACATTACACCCTGCTCTTTCAATATTTTAATAGCATTTATTATCCACATGTGTATGGTGCAATATTAGGCATTTTACATAATAATATGTAGTATTTATCTTCTAGGTATTTTAATGCAAAATTATAACATGACTGTTTTCTAAAGAATCCGTATGTATACATATAAGTATATCTGACTTATATTTCTAAATATAAAGAATATTTTATATTTGGACCAAGGATTGGCAAACTTTTCTGTAAAAGGCCAGATAATAAGTATTTTCACTGTTGCTGGACATATGGCCTTTGTTTCAACTTAGCTGTAAACAACAATACATAAGCAAATAGATATGGCTGTATTTCAATAAAATTTTATTTGCAAAAATAGGCTGGATTTGGTCTTTGAGCCATAGTTTGCTAAAGTCAGTGGCTTAGATTTCTAATGTTGGAAAGGCTTATTGAATCAAACCCCCTTTTATAAATGAGAGAATTGATGATTTCATTAGCATTACTCATTATAGATGATGTACTTTTAATTTTGCAAGTAGTTAATTTCACAAGTTGTATTTTCCTAGGACTACTAACTCAGTTGAGACGCTATTTATTGTCAAGAGCTGATAAGACATAACATCTTACCAATCATTTATGTAGAATACAATGGAAATTATGCCTTTCTAGGATTGTGCAACATGTAGTGTACTGTATCTTTTTTATTATCTCCTAAGAGAGCAACCAAAAGCTTGATTTGAATTTATGAATAATGAATAATGCTAATGATGCCTTATTTCATATTTTATAAGCTATGACATATCATTTAATCTTTGCAACTACTCTGTAATGTAATGTTAGTACTATGCTCATTTTATGAATGAGGAAACTGAGTCTTGCCATATGTGAGCAATGTGCCCTATAAATTAGGCTAAAGTCTAAGTCTGACATAGCTATCACCCAGCATGTTCATTGCTCATCACTGGACAGAACATTGTTTGATTTTAGTTGTGTGTGTTTGTGTGTGTGTGTGTGTGTGTGACCAAAATAGTATGTAAAGTACATAAAATGAATATCCGAAGCTTAGTATTGGTGATATTCTCCTATAAAATACTATCAGTTGCTTCCAAAGGTAAATAGAAGAATTTAACACATTTGCACATGTGCTAGAATACCAGGTAGAAAAGCGATGCTTTGGGAGGTAAGAAGAATGCCTATTATGGATAGAAAGATGAAATAAAGGGCAACATGGAAAAAGACATTCACTGAGACTTGAGAAAAATTGAAAGGAATGATGAACATGTCACCTCGGCAGAGCAGACAGTCACTGAAACAGCAACATCAGAGATTTCCACTCTCTCCAGAGGTGCTCACATTTGATAGCAGTCTGCGGTAGTTGGATCAAACCTTATCAACACACAGTTGATCAAATCTTACCAATTACTACTACCATTACAGCAGCGGTAACCATAGTTAACCAGCGGTAACTACAGCAGCAGTTCTCAACCTGTGGGTCATCGTGAGAATCGCTAGCAGGGTCACCTAAGACCATCAGAAAACACAGATATTTACATCACAATTCATAATACTAGCAAAATTACAGTTATGAAGTAGTAATGAAAATAATTTTATGGTTGGGGGTCACCACAACATGAGGAACTGTATTACAGGATTGCGGCATTAGAAAGGTTGAGAACCACTGCTCTAGAACATTTCAGAGAGATGAAATAGTATATATGGGCCTTGTGAGAAATGAAGAGTAGGGAAGGGATATTAAGGAAAAAAAAATTTGATATGGACTTTAGAGTCAAAAGATTTGAATTCAAATCCCTGCTCTCTCAGTTTTACCTCACTCATTGGGAAAGATCCCTTAATCCTTACTCAAGTCTCAGTTTCCTTGTTTGTAAAATGGGAATAGTAATAAAAGCTCCCCTTGTTCCCATGTTGGGAGGCTCAGCTGACAAGAGTTGTAAAGCCTTTGTAAACTGTCAAGCAGCATACCAATGTAGGGTATGATGGCTTTGATTTTGATTTTAGCTTTGCTGAAAAACATAACCTGCCTTTGGAATTTTAACCATTAGATTACTGAATAATTGAAAAAAGTTAATAAGTAGTGATTTTTAGTCAATTTGAGCTCTAACTGGAAACAATTGAATTTAGTAATTTTATTTTATAATATTTATTTCAGTGTTTTGCATTTTGGTAAACATGTGAGATCATAGGAAGTCCTATTAGATAGCCAATCTCTGTCTCTAGAGAGCACCAAAGGACTCAAATGTTTACCTGAATCTTGCTCTAGGTATGTATCTACATTTTTATTTTATTTTTAATCCTGAAAATTTTTATAATCATTGTTCTGCCAAAGAATACTAAATTATGAGATATTTGTGATAGAATTAATTTCGGATTCCCAAGCACCTCATGATTAAAAAAAAAACATTTTTAAAACTGGTTATGTAACTGCTTTTCTCTTGCCAGCTGTCCTTGTTAGTACTAATTTTGATCAATATCTAATCTGATTATTGGAGTTACTTCTTTGATGCAAAAGTTTTTGGCTCTGAATAATTTGGTTACTGAGAAAAATTGAGTCAACAAATAAAATATCTTCTTAAGAGCCAAGTATTGTGAATTACCAGTTTAGTTTCTATTTCAAATTATAAAAAATAAAATATAAAGTTTTGATGGCCACTTATAAGATTAATGTGAGATAAACATTTTTTAAATGGTGTATGGTATAACCTGACAGAGTATTAATCCAGTATGAGTAAGAAATTGCCTGTATAATTTAAAACTAGAAGATATTCCATGCAGTTGAAGATGATTTGTACATTTTTAGGTGTTTATTGTGGAATTATTAAGATTAAAATTAAAATTAAGACTTGAATTGTTAATCACATGAGAATTCTGTCCTGAACTTCTGATTTGTTGGCCTGTTAATACTTACTCTGTTTAGAGGGAGAGATGTTGGAAGGGAAGCCAGATGCCTACTTGGGCAGGGCGGCAGTATTTTATCAGGTCAGCATGTAGCTCTTACAAGCTAGATTCTGGAGTCTCAAGCCTAGGTTTGAATTCTTGAACCAACACTTACTGACTTGAAATTATGTAAGTTTTTTTTACCCTTCATAAACCTCAGTTTCCTCAACTATAAATAGAAATTTATACTACCACCCACTTCAGAGAGTTGTTTTGAGGGTTGAATGAGATGCTATATATTGAATAGATATATAGAAAGTACTCTATTAAAAATACTTGTTATTAGTATAGGATCTGGTTCTTGAAATTTTATGTATTCAGAAATTTGATAAGTTATGCTCAAAGGAGTGTACAGTGTTGGGGGCAAATAGGTTTTCACTGATATTTAAATTATGGTAAGATCAGTTTCTGCTGTGAATTTTTAAAAATTTTAAATTGTTTTTATTTTATTTTTTATGTTTTATATGTTATTGATTTTAGAGAGAGGGGAAGGGAGAGAAATCTAAAATTGATTTTAAAGTTCTCTATCATTTCATTACAATATTAGTGGGTTGGGTTATATGATTAATTGAATCAGAGAAACATTTTAATACATGGATCCTATAAAATATTGTATCACTTTTGAAAACTGAATACTAGTTTATAAAAGTGGCTGAATAAATTTTAAGGTAGAGTTGATTTATTTTAAAGAAGGTTTTTTCTTTAGCAAAAATTTATCTACTGTCTAACATATGGCCATGCATGAATTTAATGGATTCTTAATAAATACTTATTGATATGATGATAATGTAAAAACAACTGATTTTTATAGCAGTTTTAAAGCTATGATTTCTAAATTTTATTTGGGCTACTGTATTTCTAAGAGACTCTGGAGCTTTCTTCTGTGAAGAAAGTAAGCCGAAGTAGCATCCCAGTGGCCATTCTAGATAAGTAAGCCTCCTTTTTTGATGGTCTCAGAAGTAGTTTGAGCCTTTGCAGGATCATGAAGCATCATGGTTAGTCGCAAAGCTTCAAAATGAATTAGTAAATCTACCCTTATCATTATATAGTCATTTTTCTGTTCACAATATCTTAAAAATTATTTTGCAAAGAAGAGTGTCCTATTTTAATATCCTTAAATTTAATATATATATATTTCTGGGAAACTAGCATCTTAAAAGTAAATATTGTAAAGGAATTTATCACTGAGTGTATAGATCATAAGTTTCTTTTATAAGTTGATGGAAATTTTTTCCCACCCTCTTTCTTATTCTCTTAATAATCCTGTGTAGATTCATGAAGGATTCCTGGAGAGTAAAGCGCTTGTTTTTAATAGCACCAATTCATCAAATCCATGTGAGAGAAGAAGTATTGACCTAAGGATATATATGCTTTGCTTTCTTCCATTTTTAATTCTCTTGGTCTTCATTCGTGAGCTGAAGAATCTGTTCATGCTCTCATTCCTTGCCAACATTTCCATGGCTGTCAGTCTTGTGATAATTTATCAATACGTTGTTAGGGTAAGTATAACAAGTTTTCACTGTCATATGTTTCTTAATAAGTAAATTTTTTGTTTACTTTGAAGGTAAAAGTAATGTGTGAAGACCCCTACTTCACATGAGGCACACAGGAGATAATCAGATACTGCTGATTGCAGTGTGTGACCTAGAGGTTTAAGTACAGGCTTCGTAGTTAGATCTGGTATTGAAGCTTGGTAACTGTCTTTCTGGGCTTTATGGTATTGCTTCCAAAGGTAGTAATACTCTCCTATTAGAGTTGTGTGATTTAAGGTCACACACATGCCTAAGAACTTGTTAGTGTTTTCTTTATTCCTTTAAGATTTGAACCAATCACAAGAGATGGGAATATAGATATAGTTTTATAATTTTCTTCCACTTCTGAACCTTTTATTTGCTGCTACTACTTCAGTCAACTGACACTGCTGTAACCTCTTTATTGGAACTATGCAGTAACCTCAACTGATTCCATTGTTCATAATCTTGGGATTTTAAACCCACTTTCCATAAAAGAATGTATTCAAGGGATTCTGCAAATTCCTTGAAATTATTTGTAAGACTTAATGAGTTTCTTGATGTATATGTATGCTTTCTCCTGGGCACCTATAAGCTTTCATCTCTCAGACAGGCCAGGAACTTAAGAAAGGTGGAGACTCTCTGTTCTTTCTTTCCTGGTCAAGTCATTCTTGGGTATTGCTGCCAAAGCAGTTATTCTGAAATCTCCAGTAGCATTCATTACAGATTCTATTATGATGGATGGATGTTTCACCCTCCCCCCACCCCCTGAATTCCAAAACCTGTAGAAATAGCATGTACAAATTCTTATACCATGTACAAATTGAAGGGAACAGGCAGGAATAGCTCAAGACTTCCTGGAGTTCATGATCCTTACCTGAACAAGGAAGAGTGAGTGAGCTGAAAGTAAAGTTCCTTAAATAAAAGCAGTGTGAGCATTGAATAACAGTTTAGTGTTATCAGATGTTCCAAACACTTTAATACCCTTTTTATTCTGACTCTAGCTTATATTTTTAGTCCTGAATCACTGTTAATCACACAATTCTTCCTAAGTTTCAAATGTTCTAGACCTCTCCATTTCCCAAATTACCTGTGTGCTCTCACACTTCAGTTACTTAGTTCATCCTCTTTTCCTTGGCCTTGAATTTCACTTGCAATCAGATAAGGCAGAGAACACATTTGGGACAAAGAGAGTAGGGACTAGATTTGGGCTTGCTGGAAGAGGTGGCCATTGTGGAGCCAGAGATCTTGAAGAAAGATGTGCAGTTTATAAGTTTCAGATAGTGAGAGTCAGAACAAAGCTATGAGGCAGGACCAGGTAACCGAACCCCAAGTCAAGGCATATGCACAAGTAATAAACTTCTTATCAGCTGTCAGGTTAGAGACTAACACACTGAAAACGGGGGATCTGGGCTAGGGAGCAGCACAGCGTGACGAGGCAGAAAGTCAGAGTCTGGAGCCGGGTGTCTTAGAGACTGAGCCATGAAAATAGAAAAAGAAGGACGTTTGTTGACCATCCGTAGTAGTTGATAACTGATTAAATGGCTCTCAGTCCCTGCGTATGCTTATGTTTCCTATTATGGTAGGAGCCCTACCCAGTGTGAACAGCCTGGGACTTGCAGATGGAAACAGGTAATAAGGAGCATTTAGCTCAGATGGAATGTGTGGGCATGAGGAAAACAACTGCTTTGGCAGTGAAATTCTAACAGCTTGGCTACATTTAACAGAGGATGCTTAAAGTGCTTATGGAAAGAATTATTCATTTTTGTAATGCATATAGGGTGGGGCAAAAGTAGATTATTTGTTCACATGGGAATAACACAATAATTAATAAATAATAATACAAGAATAATATCTGTTTTGGGTACTCAAATTGTAAAACCTACTTTACCCCACCCTGTACTTGCTGCTGTTAAGCTGAGAAGTGTGTGATTTTGCTCTTTCATTTAAAAATTCTTTAAAGTAAGTACAGATGTAACTTGCATTATTTTTTTCTTTCTTTTTCCAGAATATGCCAGATCCCCACAACCTTCCAATAGTGGCTGGTTGGAAAAAATACCCACTTTTTTTTGGTACTGCTATATTTGCTTTTGAAGGCATAGGAGTGGTAAGGATTCAGTCTTTATTATTTTTTACAATTTTAAATCAACAAAAAGGTTTATATAGTCTAAATGCATTTAAAAATGTGTTTTTAATTTTTCTATGAAAAATTTTATTTTTAGAATATGTTTGCATTTCTTAGACATATCACTTAAACTCTAATTCTCTTTATTTTAATCTGTAACATGAGGGTAGATGATTTTTAAAAATTTATTATGGAAAATTTCAAACCTATAGAAAATTTAGAGAATAACCTAGTTTAAGAAACCATTAACTCATGACCAGTTTTGTTTTATCTATATTCCATCTATTCTACCAAGCCTGGGTTATATTCAAATCCCAAACATCATATTGTATAGACTAGATGACTTGAAGTGAATTGAAATGTTACTCTTTCATAAGAAGAGTAAAATATAAATTCTCCCTTTGGATTTATGCATGTTTGGTTTGAAAAATAATGTCATTATAAGGGTAATTCCAAGAGTTACAGGCATCTTGGGGATTTTAAGATCTTAAATATTTCCATTCAAGTTTTTTAAAAGCCTGGAATTGTGTAGATTTGTGGAAAAAAGAATATTGCTATCTACTCCATAGCTTATGTTTCAGTCTGATGGTTTTTTATGAGAGCAAAACTACTTATAAACACCTGTTAATATGAAACACAGACAAAATAGATGTAAAAGACAATTTTACACCATTTCACTTGGGTTTCTGCTTTCTGAGTTCTATAGAGAATTCTCACAAGTTCTTACAGCTCCACTTATCACTGTTACAGGCAATCACATTTAGATTTTCATGTCTATCTTTACCTACTAAGCTCTCGTTAACTGTTGGATATTTACAGTTCAGTGTTTTGTTTTGTTTTCCTGACATCTCAAATTCAGCAACTCCAGATTTTGACACATACTTTCTTAATGCTTTACTTTTTCACTTCCCTATTTCTCTCGTTTTATTTTCAATAGCTGAAGCTTGAAACATTGGAATAATTCTTTTTACTTTGTTACTGGTTTCCTAATTCCAGTCAGCAATTAAGGCATGTTGATTCTTCTTCCATATTTCCCCAAATCTATTCAGTGAGATTTTATGTAAAGCAGCCACAATGCTGCTTGACACAGAGGGAGGCTTCCTAAATGCTAATTCTTCTCCTTCCCCTTTTCTAGCTTCACCGGCACTATTCTTGATGGTAGGCCCTTATTTCAGGCCCGAATTATGTCTGGAGCACCCAAATTGTTCCCTGTTCTCTCTCCTGTTTACCAGTTAATATTTCCATATGGATCTGACTTACTCATCTGAAAAGTGGGATAATATTAGAGTTACTATTGCACAGGATTATTGTGAGGATGATGTGAGATGCTACATGCAAAGCCTTTAGAAAAATGTGTGACACACTGTAAACTCTCAGTAAATAATTCTAGTATTGTTACTTAGTGTCTTTTACAGTATGGTCAAATCATATGGCCAAAGTCTCTGAAGATTTGCCTAAAAACTTAATTTGGTAATTAGCCTTTTTTTTCTTTTCCTTTACTTTTTTACATAATGAAAATTACTTATTTATCTCACTAAATTAACAGACAGTAGATACAGATGGAAAATATAGAAGCAATTATAGACGTGTATACATGGGTTACTACAGGTATGCTTTCTAGCACTGTCTGCCGAGAGACCCCATAAGCAGTGATGCCCCAGTAGCAATAAGCACACCGAGCACCCAGATCTTGATTTCTAAATACCATTCTCAACAAAAGAACCAAAGTTCCTTGGAGAAATGGCTGATTCTAAGGCTGAAGCAAGGAAATTCAAGATGAATCTGGAGCATCTTGTAGTGCCAGAAAGTATGGAAGTGCTCAAAAAACAAAAGAATGGAGGCAGGTCAAAGGACACAGAAACCAACCTGATAGAGTTTACAATGACCAAAGCTGGAATAATATGAGTAACAAAATAAATGTTTTGTATTCATCTTCAAAGTATAAATAAATACATGAATCCATACTATTATAAATTAAGTATATAATTTAATCAAATAAGGGGGATTGCCAAATAATTTATGTAACTGCTCCCTCTCCAGGAGGTGTAGCTTAACCCCCCTAGTCCCTGGAATGTGGGCTGGCTGCCTTGGGTGACTTGCTTCCAAAGAACAGAGTAGGATGAGGGGGGAAGAAAAGACCTTTACAAGCAGAGAAACCCGGCCAGCACTGCCTTAACCAAAAATTAACTTCCCCTGTGTAACTCAGGTTGATTACAAGAGTGATGAGAAGGGCACTTTCCCCTATGATAATCTTTTCTAAAACCTAAAATCCCAGTCTAGTCAAACATCAGACCTAAATAGAGGGACATCATACTATGGTAAATACCTAGCTGAGACTCCTCAGAACTATTAAGATAATGATGAATAAGGTAAGACTGAGGAACTCTCACAGACCCGAAGAGACCAAGGGGGCATGGTGACAAAATGCAGTGGAGTGTTCTTGGCGGGATGGACACTGGAACAGAAAAGGGACATGTGGAAAATCTAGTGAAATCCAAATAAAGTTTGGAGTTTAATAGTAATGCACCAGTGCTGGTTCTTAATTGTTAACAAATGTACTTTGTGTAAAATGTTAATAGGGAAAGTGTTGAAATTATTATTTTTTTAAACAGGTTTGTCTGCTAAGAGCTGATTTAAAATTTTAAAGAGTTTAAAAATTGGTAGTAATAAAATATTGATACTTCAACAATTATAAGTGTTTTAAAGGAAAAAGTTTTTCAGATAAACTACAGAAAGATTAATTTGTATATTTATGACAAGAAACTAGATTGTTTGAAATGATCTGCATTATTTCACTCTTTTTTTAGGTTCTACCACTTGAAAATCAAATGAGAGAATCAAAACGCTTCCCCCAAGCATTGAACATTGGCATGCTAATTGTTACAACTTTGTATGTAACATTAGCTACCTTAGGATATATGTGTTTTCAGGATGAAATCAAAGGCAGCATAACTTTGAATCTTCCTCAAGACGTATGGTAGGTAGCTATGAATATCTTAATTCTAATTTGTATATTATATAGATATAGTTTGCCAATATTTGATGATAAATGTGAATTCTTGGATTTATAGTTTAAACATAAATTTTTACTGATTTCTTTATAAAAATATTCTAGATTACATAAATAATTTTCAGAAGAGACCATCTTTGATTTTACAGGTCTGTGGGATTTTTTTAAAAGATAAAACATTGTAGGTTGTTCCAAAATTGAATCAAGTATAAGAGTAAAACATGGATTCTTTTACTATAGACACCTTAATAAAAAGTTTAACATTTATCCTTACTGCTAAAATATTTAAAACTCCAGTTCCTGATAAAATAATATAACATGGCCCTAGCTGGTTTTGCTCAGTGGATAGAGTGTAGGCGTGCGGACTGAAAGGTCCCAGATTCAATTCCAGTCAAGAGCACATACCCGGGTTTTGGGCTCGATCCCCAGTAGAGGATTTGCAGAAGGCAGCTGATCAATGTTTCTCTCATCATTAGTATGTTATGCTTTGATTGGTTGAATGGACTGTATGACCAGACACTTAGCATATTAGGCTTTTATATATAGGATATTAAATTCAAAATAAAGGGTATCTACAAAATTCACTTATCTAGCAGATAACGGAATGGCAATAAAAGTAGGTTTATAATTGTGAGTATGTGAAACAGTGTATTTTTGTATTATTTATGATTGTATAATTATTGTATTAACTGTAAGCCTACTTTTGCCTACTACTACATTTATTGTATGCCTTTTGTGTACTAGATATTGTTACCGGCACTAGAAACACAGTGGTGAACAGATAAAAATTTCTTCCTCATAATGCTACATTCTAGTGAACATGCTACAAAATATTAGTGGTTCAAAGCATTCAATCTAGTGATAAATACTAGATAACCCTGGTTGTCTTATTTTTTAGCTGAGAATGAAATGAGGTTCTTGATAAGGATTGAAGCTGGTCCTCATAAACGCTTCTTTTCTGCTTAACAGAGCTACCCGTAAACCAAAGATTCTTAATCTGTGTATCATGAAGGGTCTAAGAGGTACAGTGAGTTATCAGACTATTTTCAGGGGTAGCTTCTGTATTCAGCCTTGAGAGAAAGAATCAGTCAACAACTTATTTCTTAGATTAGCTTTAAATTTTTTTTAATATATCCATACCTGTGAATTAAGACTATTGATTTTTTTTTTTTAACCAATGTGGGGAAAGAATAGAAGCATTGTTTTAAAAACTAATGCTTTTACTGGACAATAGTTAGTTGTTTCCTCACCCCAAAATCTGATTTCATATATTGACTGAAAAACAATTATTTAAAAAATAGATTTCTGCTCTTTATTCGATACGAAGTCTTTTTGCTGCCAGCGTAACAGATTTTGTTTTCAAGCAAGAATCGTTTTATTTTAAAAAATATTTTTTATTGATTTTCAGAGAGTGAATAAAGGAGAGGGAGAGAGAGGAAAAGAGAGATACATTAGTGTGAGATGGTAACATCAATTGGCTGTTTCCTGCACACCCTCTGCTGGGGATCAAGCCCACAACCTGGGCATGTGCCCTGACTAGAAATCAAACCAGCAACCTTTCATTGCATAAGACGATGCCCAACCAACTGACCCACACTGGCCAAGGCCATTTTATTTTTGAAGTATTTCATTTGTGATATTGAATGGATATAGTTTCTAAAATTTACCTGTTCATACCCATTTTTATTAATATTAATTTCATATTTAATAAGTATCATTAAGTGCATTGGGGGGTATACAGAGAATAAAACATAGTCTCTAACTTTCAAGAACTTTTAATATACACTACACATTACTTACAAGTTGTTTGATGTTCTTATATGTCCTCAAATTCCTGATTTCAAGGACATTTTTTATCCTTTATAGAGATGTTTTAATGGGTATATTCTCATTTGGACCCTTATCATAGATGTTCACTTAACACCAAAATGAAATCAAAGTTTGAGTAGAGAAAAATAGTTAAGAGTGATTGAAATTACAGATGCCAAACATAAAAATTAGTGGGTTCTTGAAACAAAAAACAAGTAGGAGTGGAACAATTGATTCTAAAAGACTGAAGTGTTTTTCTTAAGCACTCTTATTTCTATATTACTGTTCTTTGGTTGATGATGTGCTAGTACACCCACTTTCAAAAGAGCCAAACCATTTCATTTTCCCATTTTTATTCTGTATAACACAAAAATTATAGTAGTTGCATATAATTAATATTACTAAATAGTATTCATAATAACCAGATTCTTAGCCTGTACAACTTACTATGTATCAGTAGAAAAGTAATTATATTTATATGCATAATGATGTAAAATATAGTTAACCATATTTTAAAAATATGTAAGTTAAAAAGATAATTAGAAAAAAAGGAATGTTCTAATAAACTAATAAGAACATTCAATTTTCACCATTACATTTCAGAGCTTATGAAGCAGGCATCTTTCATTTATTTTATTTCACTAATTTGACCATTTTGTATGTAAACTTTAAGCCTCAAGCTGAGAAATATATCTTGAGGTGATTTTAAAGTTAAGGATTTATTGTTACCACCCTTAAGGAGTTCTTTCTTTCCTTAACACTGCTGTTTGCAGTGTTTTCACATCTATTTCTGCTCAGCCTTTTTTCCTTCCTCTTGATGAATACATTCTAGGGAGAGACTTACTGAAGTCTTTCTTGCTTGGCCACAGGTGAGAGAACTATTTATAATCTTGACTGCTCTGAGTGTTAAGACATCAGAAATAAGGTGAAAGCCTAATTAATTTTGAGGCTTTCTTCACCAATAGTGGAATATTTTATATTCCTTTAAAATGAATGTTTTTTCCTAAAAAAGAAATATAGTAGTCTTTCCCATGCATAGGCCTCTTAGGGGGGAGAGTGGAAGATTGTGGGGTTAGTGACATTTCTGCTGAAAGAGGAGAAACGCCAATTACTACCCCCAGTGCTGTCACTCATTCTATCCGATCTCCTCTCTACTTACTTTCTTACAAAATAAGAGCAATTGGGTTTTTCTTTTGATTGTTATAAAATATTCAGAATTTCAAAAAATACCACACATAATTTTATTACTTATAACCCAAGGAAGTAGGTTCTACAGTAATCCTCTGAGTCCTACGATTCTATGTATTCTCTATAATTATAAACATTTCAAATAATCTCTTTTGCCAGATAAAATGTATTTTTTCCAACTTATTAAGACATGCATGCTGAGTTTTGACAGGAGGCTATCTACCATCTAGAAATCTAAAGATGTTGATAAAACTGAACATTGCTGTGCTCTTTTAAAGCACTGGTCATAAAAACATGTTTACTTGGATAAAACAATAACCCAACTCAAATTTATTTCCCTTATCAATGCAACTTTAAAATAGGTAAAACTCCTATATAATCTGGAGAAGTTTGCAAGTTGAAACCATTTAGATGGCCTCTTTTATGACTTAAGAATGGTAACATTTCTGCAACCAATGACACACCTACCAAGATTTCCAAGCAAGGAGAACTGTGTAACTCAGAGTTCAATCTGAAGTTTTTCTTCTATATATCAATGTCTGAGGTATCAAAGACATACAATATGGTCAATTTTTAAAAGGAAAGTTGTAAAAACATTAGCTCTTTTTGGGGCTCAGCCTAACCTTCAGAGCATTGGCTTAGCCTAACATGACATCTTTATAGCAGTATTTCATAGATCTTCACATGCCACGGTTTTGTAGGTTGTCAGAATGAGTTGTCCACCTATTGTCTAGAAATTTAGAGATCAGCTGGCCTTTTTCTTTTTTTTTTTAATCCTCACCCTAGGATATATTTTCTTATTTTAGAGGGAGGGAGAGAGAAAGAGAAAGAGAAAGATCTATTTGAGAAACATTGGTTAATTGCCTCCCATTTGCACTCCAACTGGGAATCTAATCCCACAACCTTTCGATCAGTGGGATGATACTCCATCTAACTGAGCTATAATAGCCAGTGTCAGTGAACCTTTTTTTTTCTTTTAAATAATAAGCATTTAATTAGTAATATACTGTCTTAGTTTGTGTTGGATTTCTTGTCTATCTTAACATTAAAAATAAAAGGAAGAAAGCTAGTTTCATACTAAGATAACAATGTGAATGAACCTCAAAGGCATTTTGCTAAATGAAATAAGCTAGACAGAGAAAGATAAATATTGCATGGCATCACTTATATGTGAAGTCTAAAAAAATGTCCAATTCATAGGAGAGTAGATTGGCTCCCAGGGGCTGGTGGAAAGAAGAAAGCTCAGTAAAACTTTTAGTTTTAGAATGAATAAGGTCTGAGGATTTACTGTATAACATAATAACAGTAATTAATAATACTGAATTGTGTGATTGAAATTTGCCAAGAGAGTAGAACCAAAGTGTTATAAATAAAGTAAATATGTTAGGTGATGGGTCTGTTAATTAACTTGCTTATGGATATCTTTTCACAATGTATATGCATCTCAAATTATCACGTTACAGACTTTAAATACATTACAGTTTTATTTTTTAGGTGTACATCAATAAAGCTGGGGGGGGAAGAATGAGTAAATTTTGAATTTTTTTAACAGGTTGTATCAGTCAGTGAAAATTCTGTATTCCTTTGGCATCTTTGTGACATATTCCATTCAGTTCTACGTTCCAGCAGAGATTATTATCCCTGTGATCACATCCAAATTTCAGGCTAAGTGGAAGCAAATCTGTGAATTTGTGATAAGATCCATCTTGGTTAGTATTACTTGTAAGTATCACTTCACTACATATTTATATCATAACTGTTTTTTCATTATTGAATTTCATATTCTGAAGCAACTTCAAGTATATTTTCAAATATTTTTGAACAATTTTACTCACCTAGCTGGGATACTTGTTGGTTTAAAATTTTATTTATCTATCTATCTATCTATCTATCTATCTATCTATCTATCTATCTATCTATAATAGAGAAATATGCTAACTAACCAGGACGCTGTAATGGGCTGATTGGACAGGAGGAGGTTGTATGCATGTCAGCGATGGTGTGGCAGGGGTCTCCGGGCATCTGCGCTGGGTGAGGGTCTGATCAGCAGCGGCTGTGGCTGCTTCAGGGGCCAGAGAACGAGGCAGGGCGATTTGAGGGTGGCAGCGACCTGGGCTCCTAGTTCTATGTAAGAAAAACACAACCAGATACTATCATACTTAGAAGAACTAGTCAAAGTATTATTTTGAAAATGATATCAGTGATGATTAAAATATAAATATATTTAAATCAAATGCATAAGGGATCCTTTATATTGTTGATATACATTTTACTGTGGTTCTAGTTTTCCTCGGGTTTTTTTCCTGCTAACATTTATATATTGAACAGTTAAACTCTCTATGACTATTTATGGGAATGGGCTTTGTTTTGATATTTTTTATGACAGGGAGCTTGGTATAGTGGAGGGTGTGAGTTGTGGAGTCACACTAACCTGATGGTTCAAACTCAGGCCTACCACTTCCTTGCTGGTGTCTTTAGGGAAGTTGCAAACCACCTTTGAACTCCCCTTTCCACAACTGTGGCATTTTTGTAGAGTTTAAAAATATTAACAAGATAGCTAGAAGTTATTATTGTCACTATTATTATAACTATAAAAAGAAGGATAACTAACACTGAACTAATTAATGAGATTGCCTAGAATGACACCAAGGACAGGCTACTTGTATTCTGGGGAACAAGCAGCTTTGGAAATTCTGTGGAAGATACTGGTAACCATGTTAGCCATTCAAGGTTAGAGGGAGGGTGTTAGGGCTTAAAATTTTGGTTAACTCTGTAAATTGCATTGAGCAGTTTGGGGTGGAGCTTATGCCTAAATGTAAAGAATTGAATGCATTACATTTTGTCTGAAGGAAAACCAAAGCTGGTTAAAGTAGATAAAACTTATGTTCAAAGCAATCATTTATTGTTATTAGCATACAATATTAGTTTCAGGTGTACAGCTTAGTGATTCCACATTTATATATCTTACGATGTGCCACCTGTTAGTAACTATCTGTCACCATGCAAATTTATCACATTATTATTGACTATATTCCCCCTCACCTTTTCACCCACTCTACAGCCACCACCCCCAACAACCATCACTTTGTTCTTTGTTTCTTTTCATCTGTTTTTGTTTTTCAAAGATTCCACATATAAGTGAAATCATGTGGTATTTTGTCTTTCTTTCTGACTTACTTCACTAAGCATATACCCTCTAGGAGGTCCATTCATGTTGTTGAAAGTAACAGGATTCCTTTTTTTTTTTAAATTTTTTTTATTGATGGGTACTTCATTATCCATTAATCTTCATTATCCGTTCATCTGTCAATGGACACCTCGGTTGCTTCCCTATGTCATCTATTGTAAACAATGCTGCAGTGAATATAGGAGAGCATGTATCTTTTCTAATTAATGTTTTCATTTTTAAAAAATAAATGGGATCAAACTTGTGGTTGAAGGGACAATTTGCATATTAGCTTTTTATTATATAGGATAGTTTGACACCAGGATGTGTGGTATCTCCAACTTTGCTCCTCTTTCTCAAGAATGCTTTGGCTATTTGTTTTTTTTTTGTGTGTGATTCCATATAAGTTTTAGTATTATTTGTTCTAGTTCTGAGAAGAATGTCATTGGTATTTTGATAGAAACTACATTGAACCTGTAGATTGCTCAGTTAAATTTATTCATGTATTTTCTTTTTTGCTGTAACTATAAATGGGATTTTATCAATTTTTCCTTGTGATTGTTATTAGTATACTAGAGGGTCCTAGGCCTGGTTGGCAATCAGGGCAGATTGGGGACCCGCAGGCTGCCAGCTGGGGCCTTCCTTTGTTCCACGCCACCCTCTGGTGGTCAGTGCACATTATAGCGAGCAATTGAACTCTTGGTTTCCCGGTTGAACTCCCGAGGGGACACTTTGCATATTAGCCTTATATAGGTTTATAAGTGATTTGTATAAATTAATTTTGTATCCTGTAACTATACTCAATTCATTCTGTTAATTTTTTGGTGGATTCTGAATGATTTTCTGTATAGAATATCATGTCATTTGCAAATAGTGATAGTTTTACCTCTTCATTTACAATTTGGATGCCTTTATTTCTTTACCTTGTATGATAACTGTGGCTAGGACTTTTAGTACTATATTGAATAATAGTGGTAAGAGCGAGTATCCTTATCTGTTACTGATCGTAGAGGAAACACTTTTCAACTTTTCATCATTTGATATATTGAATAGTTTTAAGTGTGAGCTTATCATATATAGCCTTTATTATGTTAAGTTCCTTTTATGCCCACTTTGTTGAGAGTATTTATCATAAAGGGATGTTTTGTCAAATGCTTTTTCTGCATCTGAGATGATCAGATCAATAATTTTTATTTTTGGTTTTTGATGTGATGTATAATGTTAATTGTTTGGAGGATATTGAGTCATCCTTTCATTCCCTTGTATAAATTCCACTTGATCATGGTGCATAATCCTTTTAATGTATTGTTGAATTTGGTTTACTGGTATTTTATTGAGAATTTTTGCATTTATATTAATCATGGTTATTCACCTGTAATTCTTTTTGTTCGTATCTTTGTCTAATTTTGGTGGTATGGTAAAAGCTGCCCTCATAGAATGAGCTTGGAAGCAGCCCTTCCTCTTTAATTTCTTTGAATAGTTTGAGAAGGATATTAATTATTCTTTAAATGTTTGGTAGAATTCATCTGTGCTTTTGTTTGTTGGAAGTTTTTCAATGACTAATTCAATTTCATTGCCAGTGATCAGCCTGCTCATATTTTCTATTTTTTCCTGGTTTAGTCTTGGAAGTTTGTATGTTTCTGGAAATGTATCAATTTCTTTGAGATTGTACAGTTTGTTGGCATATAATTGTTCATGGTATTCTTTAATGATCCTTTGTTTTCTGTGTTGTCTGTTCTCTCCTCTTTCATTTCAGATTTTATTTGGGCTCTCTTTTTTCCTTGACAAGTTTGGCTAGATATTTGGCAATTTTACTTATCCATGGAAAGAATTTGGTCTGAATTTCATTGTTCTTTTCTAATTTTTTGGTCTGTATTTTATTTGTTTCCACTCTGATCTGTGTTTTCTTCCTCCTACTTACTTTGGATTTTCTCTATTATTCTCTTTCTAGCTCCTTTATATCTAAAGGTAAATTTCTTATTTGGTAATTCTGTTTTTTGAAGGCCTGTTTAGCTATGAATTTCCTTTTTAGAACTGCTTTTGCTACCTCCCATACATTTTGGAAGGTTGTGTTTTCATTTGTCTCAAGATAAGTTTTTGGTATTGTTAATTCTCACCTATTGGTTCTTTCCCATTTTCAGAAAGAGTGGGCAGGGAGGGTGGTTAGAGACATCTATGTGAGACATATCAATTGGTTGCCTGCCTCCTGCAGCATCATGACCAGGGCTGGGGATTCGGCCTGCAACTGAGGAATGTGCCCCTTGACTAGAAGTAAACCCAAGACCCTTCAGTCTGTGGGCTAATGCTCTATCCACTGAGCCAAACTGGCTAGGGCTCAAGGTAGCTTTTAATTTCCTGTTTCATTTTTGTCTTTGACCCATTGGTTATTTATTATGTTATTTAAATTTAATGTATTTTATCCAGTTTCTTCCTTTAGTTGATTTCTAGTTTTATACTATATGGGTCAGAAAAGATGCTTGATAATGATTTTAGTGATTTGAATTTATTGAGGTTTGTTTTGTGGTCTATTATGTGGACTCTCCTGGAAAATGTTCCATATGTACTGGAGAAAAATGTGTATTCTGCAATTTGGGGGTGAAATGTTTTAGAAATGTCTATTAATAATAGTCACTCTAATGTGACATTTAAGGCCATTATTTCCTACTAATTTTCTGTCTTAAAGCCCCCAACTATTATTTTATTACTGTTAATTTCTAGCTTTTGTGTCCATTAATGTTTTATATTCTTGTGTGTCTATGTTGTGCATAAACATTTACAATTGTTATATACTCTTCTTGGATAGACCCCTTTAACATTATGTAATATTCTTTGTCTCTTTTCAATCCTTTGTTTTAAAGCCTATTTTATCTGATATGTTGTATTGCTTCCCCAGACCTCTTCAATTTCTATTTGCAGGAAATATCTTTTTTCATAACTTGATATTCAGTTGGTGTGTCTATTTTTTTTTTAAAGTATATTTTATTGATTTTATACAGAGAGTAAGGGAGAGAGATAGAGAGTTAGAAACATTGATGAGAGAGAGTCATCAATCAGCTGCCTCTTGCACACCCCCTACTGGGGATATGCCCGCAACCAAGGTATATGCCCTCGACCGGAATCGAACCCGGGAACTTTTAGTCCCCAAGCCGATGCTCTATCCATTGAGCCAAACCAGTTTTGGCAGTTGGTATGTCTTTTGACCTAAAGTGAATCTCATATAGGCAGCATATAGATGGGTCTTGTTTTTTTATTTATTCTGTCATGCTATGTCTTTTGATGGGAGCATTTAGTCCATTTACATTTAAAATAATTATTAAGAGGTATGTACTTATTGCCAGTTTGTTCATTGTCAGTTTGTTCATTGTTTTTAATTTTTTTCGATTTCTTTTGATATCTTTTGATATGCCAGTTTTTTTTAATTAGTGTTTTGTTTGGGTTTCTTTTTATTTTTGGTTACCATATATCCATTTATATCTACAGCAGTCTGTTTTAAGATCATATGTGTTTAAGTTCAAACACATTCTAAAAGTACTACATTTCCCCCCCCCACACACACAAATTTATTAATGTCATGTTTTATATCTTTTTGTTTTGTGTATTCCCTATTGTTTGTTTTGCTAGTTTTATCTTTTTAAGTGATAGATTTACTGTTTATTATATATTTGCCTTTACCTCCATATATTTTCTATTTCAGGTTATTGTCTTTTCTGCATAAAGAGGATACCTTACTATTTCTTGTGAAGCCGTTTTGGTGGTGAACTTATTTCATTTTTGCTTGTCTGGGAAGCTCTCTCTCTTTGGGTTCTAATAACCTTGCAGAAAGGTTGTAGTCTAGATTGTAGGCTCCTTTTTATCAGTTTTTAAATATTTTCTGCCACTCCCTTCTGGTCTGTAACATTGCTGCTGAGAAATCAGTTGAGTGCCTTGTGGGGATTTACCTTGTAAGAAACTTCTTGTTTCCTTCCTGCTGCCTTAAAGATTGTCTCTCTATCCTTAACTTTTGCCATTTTAATTACAATACGTCTTGGCAGGGTTCAGCTGGTTTGGGATTCTCTGTGCTTCCAGAACTTTGATGTCCCTTTCCTTCTCAGATTAGGAAACTTTTCAGCCATTATTTCTTCAATATATTTCCCCTTTTTCTGGGAATTGCTATATAATGTTTGAGTGCTTGATGTTGTGTCAGAGATCCTTCTCATTTTTAAAAATTCTTTTTCATTTTGCTGATTGGGTGCTTTCCACTACTTTTTCAGATCACTAATCTGTTCTTCTATGTTAACTAACCTATTGTTAATTCCATCTAATGTGTTTTCCTTTTAAGTTTTTGTATTCTTCATCTCTATTTGGTTCTTTATTTTCTAACTCTTTGTTGAAGTTTTCTAACTTACTCTATTGTACTCTCAACTTTATTGAGTATCCTGTGACTGTTTAAATTTTTTATCTGGCCAATAGTTTATCTCCAGGTTTTGTTTGCTTATTCATTTGGGGCATATTCTTCTGTTTCCCCATTTTGTTTGACCTTTGGTGTTTGTTACAATGAGTTAGATTGATCACTCTCCCAATCTTGAAAAAATGGTCTGTTTAAAAGTGGCCTCTGTGTAACTCGGGTTGGGGGGGAGGGGTGGTTTCTGGGATGCTGTCTGGCCTGAGGTTGCAATTTCCAGGTGATGTAGCCTGGTGTGTATGAGCTTTCCTGCTGTGCCAGGTGGGGCAGTCCTATAGGTTTGTGCTAAGCACCCTGCTTCTGATCTAGGTAGAGCATCCTGGTGTGTGTGTGTGTGGGGGGGGGGGTGGCTGAGGCAAGCCCTTTTGTTTTGTGTAGGCCTTTGGTGCAGCAGAACTCTCCCTCTTACTGGGGGTGAGTGAGTACTTTCTGCTATGCATACAAGGCTTACCCTATTGTTTGATCGACTGTCTTGAGAGCCTGGTCAGAGATAGAACACCCTATAAACACAATCACCACAGCACCAATTTCCCTCTCTCTAGACATGGCTACCCAGGATGCATGAGCTAGGCTCTCGTGGTTCTGCTTTTGCTCCTAGTGGGTCAGCCCAGGGGGCGCTTGCAGCTGTGGCCTGGTAAAGGTCTCTGCACCCTGTTGGGCCTGTTGATTAGCTCCAGATGTGTGTGTGTGTGTGGGGGGGGGGGGGGTGTAGGACGGGCTCTGCATACCTACTGTGGCTCATTCTTGTTTCCTGCTGGAGTTAGCTCTAGGAGGGCTGGCTGGAGATGTGTTACTGCAGCCTTGAAGTTCAGCCAGAGCACCTAGTTAAGCTCCTACTGAGCTATCCAAGTGCAGAGGGTATGTAAACAGTGGTGCTTACCAGTTCCTTCATTCCTGATGGGTTCCATGAGATTTCTGGTGGGATCCCACAGTTTCTTGCTCTTCTTTTTGTAGTCTTTCTCATTCAGTTGTCTCTCGGAGGAATTTCTGTAAACACAGGTGCACATTCAGGCATTTGGTGTCTTCATGGGAGGGGGCAAACTCCATGTCCTCTTTCACCCTCATTTTGGACCCGCCTCTTACAATTATTAAAACCAAGAAATTAACATTAATATAACACCAATTAATCTGTAGACCATTTTGCCAGTTTTGTCTATTCTTTTCTGATTGGGGAACCAGTGCAACATCTCACTTGATTTGTCATATCTACATAGTTTCCTCTAGTCTTGACACTTTTTGTCTTCCATTTGAAATGTCCGTAATATTGTAGAATTTCCTTCAGTTTGGATTTGTATGATGCTTTCTTATTAGATTGAAGTTAAGCTAAGCATTTTTAACAAGAATTCCGTAGGTGATCCTTTGCACTTCTCAATGCATCACACGATAGTATCAATTATGTTTTATTAGTGATGTTAACTTTGATCACTTGGTGAAGGGTGTTTGAGAGGTTTCTCCAACTATAAAGAAACTAGTTTTGAAATTATGCAAATATCTTGTTCTCTACAGTTTTCGTCCACCAATTTTAGTATCTTTTAGTGACTTTTTGTACAACAGTTATCACTGTGGTGTTTGCTTAATATTTTGTATTTCTATTGTTCCTTCTATTTGGTTAATTGAAATTCTAGTATAAGGAATAGCTAGCTCTAATTTATTTATATCACACCACCTCATCTACAATTAACTGAATGGAAGAATAATCTGTCCAAACTTCTTTGTCCAGAATCTCACAGCAAAATATTAAAAGTTCTTTAATAAATTCTGACAAGTGAAAGTTCAAGAAATGTCACCATTTTGTTTGTCTTCCTTTTTAGCTCAACAGATTCTCCCATAATCAGTAGTTTAGTGCCTACTTGCATTAATTAACTTTAATGTAATATATTGAAAATATCTATAGTATTCATGTCAGTAATAACTTCTATAGTATTCATGTCAGTAATAACTATTTAAATAAAGTCATTTCCATTTACCAGGTGCGGGAGCAGTTCTGATTCCTCGTTTAGACATTGTGATTTCCTTCGTTGGAGCTGTGAGCAGCAGCACATTGGCCCTGATCCTCCCACCTTTGGTTGAAATTCTTACATTTTCTAAGGAACACTACAATATATGGATGATTCTGAAAAATATTTCTATAGCATTTACTGGATTTGTTGGTTTCTTGTTAGGTACCTATGTAACTGTTGAAGAAATTATTTACCCTTCTCCCAAAGTTATATCTGGTATGCCACAAAGTCCCTCTCTAATGAATTCAACATGCTTCACATCTGGTTTGAAATAGCTGACATGGAATTGAGTCTTCTACTTTTGTCTCAGTTCTGAAAATGATTAAAATAAGTACTAGAACACATTGCCATATACTTAAAAATAGAACCAAACTCTGTTTTCTTTGGCAGTAAATTTCAATTCTTTATCAACAGTGGTAAACTATTACAGATTCTTGGTTTTAAATATTAGAAATAAAATTTAAATGTTAAGTAATTAAAAGACTTCTGTTATTCTTCATTCAGTCAGAAATGCTTTAACCAAGATCCTTTTATCCTCATGCTACTATTTGCCATGCAGTTGAAGAGAGAACAAGATTCAACACTAAGAGAATTAAAGTATGTAAAACTCCAGACCATCCCAGTGAATGTCAAAGCATACTCTGTGTATAATGTAAAAATATCTCGATTATTTTTTTTTTTTATTACTAGAGAGCCAAATACTTATGATTAGCCTCTGGAAGTTTAGAAAACTCTCACTAACCATAATGTTAGCACCAGAAATCCATAAAACCTGAATTATTCTTACAATATTCTGTCATGGTAGTTGATCTTCATAATGACAGCTGCAAGGCACCCTACAAGATTCTGCCTTAGTGCTTCAATTAAATTTGAAAGAGACTTTAAAGGTTACCCAATACAATTCCCTTATTTTTACCTGAGGAAATTAATGCCCAGAATGGTTAAGTAACTTGGTCAAGATCACTCAGCCCTGAGATCAAGATAACTTTCGATTCCTAGTCCAGGATTTTTTATTTCTCACATCACATCTATGAAAAAGAATAAATTAAGTTCAGTTCAGTTTAACTTTAGTGTTGAGTCTATTTAATTATTTTTAATACTCTGAAAGCCAGTGATCTTTGAATAGCACATGTGACCTGAGTAGAAAATCAGAACTCTAAAAAACCTGCACTTCAGCTATATAAACCTCAACAAGGAAAAGAAGCAATTAAAAAAAAAAAAAAATAGAAACCACTTGCTAGTTTAACTGCTGGCTGGTAGAAGGTGCCAAGCTCTTATTATTTCTCTTTGTGGTTTGAGCTCTTTTTCTTCCTTTCGAGGTTGTTTTAGGCACTATCCATTATTCTGAATGGCAGGAAATAGATATCTGACAAAAGACAGGATTTTTTTTCACTGTTTCCTGCCCTGTGGTTTTCCTTTTATTGATCAGAATGGGCAGAATAAACAAAAAGATATTCATGCTTAGGAAAATAAAGACAACAATAAACTGTCTACTAAACATTTCTGGTTCTTCAAGCCCAGTTATTAGCCAAAACAAAGAAACTCAATTGATATGGAGGATTAAAATTAAATGTAAAACTAACTAAGAATCCTGCTTTTTAAAAATTTTATAATTTAAAAACATGTTGAACTTTTTAATCAGGCTGGTGGTACTCTAATTTGTAACACTACAAGACATCAAGATCACTGTCGTATACTATATATTCTATATTTTTATATGTAAATGTTAACTTAGTTCAAGTATATTTTGCTTATATCATGAATGAATCATCAAGTAAAATCCTAAAGAAATATTAGTAGCTTTATTTTGGTACAAATTCATATGAATCAAACTCTTTTTAAAATATTTGCATTGAATAAGACCAATAATTGTTTGTGATACTTTTATGTCAATGTTATGTTGAACATTTAGTCATACTGAGAAGATATGAAAGAAGTTATAGGAAATGTAATTATCATGGAAACTAGTGTTATATAATTTTGAATCTAAGAATAAATCAGGCGTTCTAAAACAGTTTAATGGCACAAACTGACTTGAAAACCATTATTTAATAGAAAGCACTATTAAGTACTATTAAGTTTTTGTCAGCTGTTTTTAATATTTCTAGTCCGTGTGTGAAATTTTATTTTTATACGTTCACCTGTTTTCCTTATGAGGTGAAGTCATCTAATTCAATGACAATTTGATTAGTTTATTGTAGTAACAGATAAAATTTAAATTCAAATGAATAAATGTTGAGCACATTATTAACCATGCTTTCTCATGCAATGAGTGCTTAACTAACATCCTGTACTTAATTCACTAAATTAGCAATACTTTTGGTACAAGGAAAAGTTGAAATGCAGAAAAGAGGGGCTAAAAAGGGAGAAAGTAGTTTTAATTCTTAAGAGGAAACATGATTTAGATGTAAATAATAAATGTATTCTTATTTATGGATTCTTCAATTATATGTTTTATTTGTAAAAAATCATTGGGCAATATTTTTCCTCTGAAAATGTAGTTTTAATGAGTCATAACATTTTCTAAAGATTTTTAGAGAAGATATTTTTGTTAGACAAGCTTTTGCTTTCATATTAGGGCCTGGAAAAATGAGTGTGATTGCACCTGCCAAATTTTTGTTTGGTATCTTTGCTCCATTACATTATGGCTAAAATCACTTCAGCATTTCATGTGCCATCACCATAAAGTCTCCTCTTCTCTGAAAGCTGACCAGGTGCCTGAGAGCCTTTCCTAATTGTGGTGAGGGGGGAAAAAAGCTTTTCTTACCTCTGATATCCTCTGTTTTAAGTTATAATTAATCCTTTACATTCAAAAGGGCTTCACCAGTTTTAAAATTGACTTGTCAAAACACTGGTTCTCAGATATTCTTTATCAGAGGATTTTTTCCTGACATGGCCAGACTTCTCCACAATTAATTAAGAACTAGGGTTTTTTCTTGTTTGTATGGTATTACCATTTGTATGGTGTTACCAAATGAAAGAAGTTTTGTATTAGCAAGTGCCACTCACTTAGGATGCACTTAGCATTTAACAAAACCTAATTTCATAATACAGAAAAGCTATCTAACTACAAAATACTCTAAAATATTACTTGAAACATTAATTGAAGTTTTACATTAGTGCCATGTCTTGCTGTGGCAAAGCACAGGTCTTTCTGTAGCTTACCTGTGGCACCTCTTCACTGTAGACATCAGAAGGCACAGCATCAGAATAATACATTTACTGATATCTATACCCAGTGGGTCTTGGCCTCAGTTCTCTCTCTAAACTTTAGAGTCTAAAGGAAGAAGATACAGAATATAGATCATGGAAATAAGTAAAATATACACCAGTGGCTCAATGAATATTTTCTGTTGAAGAAAAAATAATTTGATAAAAATATAGACCATTGATAATATAAAATGAGTTTTTAAAAAACTGAGTCTATTTTTAGTTTCCTGGCTCAACTAGTTTCCCTTCATATGAAAATCTGAGGAATTTTGATTTTAAAAGTATAACCATATTCTTCCTAACATTAAATGGCTGACTAATAATTAATACTTTAGCAATATTATGGTTAATCTGGTTTATGCCACTAGTGTTCACCAGGCTAAACAACTTTCTACAAGTGATTGGTTTTACCAAGGAGATAAGAAAACATGCTTAAGAAATGTCTAGGAATGCTATATATTGTTCTATGATAAATGGTAAATATTCTTAAAAATTAGCTAGTTCTTCTGCACACACATCAGTGATCTATTTGAACTAGATACTAACATACCATTTAAACTGGGTCCAGAAAGATGTGTTGAAGTATCACTCTGAAAATTATTCCGTTAGCATTTTCTTGATAATAAATAGGAAAACACATGTTTATGCCATAAAGAAATTAAACTGTGGGTTTTTATTTTTCAAAATAATTGTGTTTGAGTGAAAACTAGTTTGAGTGAAAACTAGATGTAATTGCACTTGAGTTAATTCTTTTTAACTTATTTTTCTGAAGAACTGTAACCTCAATTCTCAATAAAATATATTATTTTGCTTGCAAATGCTTTTTAAAATAAATTTGTCCTATATAAGGTTAAGAGTCATTGACAAATGTCATAGCTGAAAATGGCATTAGTATGTGTAATATTCTCATAACATTTTAATAACTTTTTGTAGTTAATATTTTGTCAGGTGACCTTCAACCTTAGAGCTGAATTATGTACCTCTAAGAGCAGATGTTGTTTAAAAATGAAAAGACATACGGTACTCAAAACCATGACCTGGATGGACTTCCTACAAAGTAAATGTAGAATGAGCCGTCAGCAAATGCTGCATTCATGATTTAAGGTCAAGTAGTAGTAGTAAATGCTCTTGGCAAACAACAGAAGGAAAACAAAGACAAAAAAACCATGGGGGTAGGGTAAGACTTAGGTATACAGATATATAAATGCAATGAAATTAGCCACTTTGTAAAATTAATTTTAGTGATGGTTTTATGCACAAGGTATATATAGAATGGTTATTTTTAAACATATATACACAAGCTCTCAAAATTTTGCATAGAATTGATGGTGTTCACATTTCAGGGGGTCCGCAGACAACCCTTCTACTCCCTACCCAATTTTTTTCCTGGCCAATCCTTAGCTATTAAGATTCAGTTTAGATGTCTCTTCTACCAGAAAGCCTTCTGATCTATCCATCTCACTACATAGAGTGAGCTGTGTATTCCTTCTTTCATACTAGCAAATGCCCTTGGGTTTATTATCCCTCTTTCAGCGTGTTTTGATAATTAAGTATCTGTTTTCATCTCTCCATTAAACTGAGAATTCTATAAGCATGCTATATATCCTTTTTTTGGTTTTATTTCTTCCCTGTCTTTCCCTAGAGAACATAAACTCCATGAAGGAGGCACTCTTGTTGATTGTGTTCATTGAAAATCCAATGCCTATAAGAGTGACAGGCAAGGGTAGATCAAGCATATGAAACTCGCAGCCAGGAGTTTGACATCCTTGGTGTAGGTTCTAAAAAAAACCAGTTGTAGAATGAATTATGTGACAAACAAATCAAGGAAAAGCCTATCTTAGAACTCTGGTATAAACATCTTGAATTATGGGGCAAAGTCATGTTTTTGGTACTGTCCCCTTTACCCCTGTACCTATTTGTTTAATGACAGCAGCCAACCCATTTTCTGCTTGGTCTACTAGCTCAGTGGGCTGCAATATTGTAAAACAAAGACCTCCAAGTCTGAGTGTCTTATAGAAAATGCTATGAATCAACAAAGCCTTACAAGATACTCAGGAGCTGCTAAGTTGTGTGAAGTCTAATAAGGAAAAGACTGAAAACTCTTCCTCACATGCCTTTATGCCTCCGTGTTTTATACAAGCAGACTGTTGTAAAGAAACAAACAACAAACAAAACCAGAAGTTCTACTTCCTACCCATTATTTTAAAAAATCGCACATGACCTAGAATGCACTAGAAGGCAATTGGTCCATTTTTGTATAAAATCTAGAAGTATCTGCCTAAAGTGTACCAACAAGCCCTAATGAGTATTTTCCTCAACTTTTGATGCCGGAGAGTTCCTGCATGTGTGAAGAGTCACACATGAAGCGGTTTCTCTCAGGAAGGAGGCTGTTCTCTGGCTGCTCTGAGAAACCCCTGTTGTCAAAGTGCATCCTAGTACGTGCTCTCACTGGACCCCAGGAAAGACCATACATACAGAAAAAAACAAGAGTGGGAATCTGTAAGTGTTGGGACAGGTGACTGTTTGAAATGATGTTTTAGAAATAGCTAGAAATGAAAAGTGAAAAGTATAGCAATATATATCTGCAAATTGAAATTAACTGAAAATCCATTTGCTCCATATATTGTCTTTCATGTATTATTCACTCAGAAAGCAAAGTGTGTTCTATGACCACAGTTATACTTTTCAGTATAAAATATATGGCTTTTTTCATTGGAAAAAGACAGGCTTTTCCACAAGGAAATTTTCCACTGGAAGAAAACAAGATTAAATTTTCCACTGGAAGAAAACAAAATTAAAAACAAACTCAGGTCACCTTCTTCACTGTTTTCTTGTAGACCAGCCACTGAATGGTGATGGCTGGTCAATATGCACATTAAAGGGCAGTGGTAAGATTGCTAATAGCAATGGTGTGCATCAATCGGGCATGCAGACAGCAGTTCCACTTTTCAGCTACCTGTATTCTATGTATGTGAAGTGCTTGATGACCTGTGGTTGCTGTAATACAGAAAACCCAGACCACAGGAGAAGAAAATTTTATGTTTTAGAGCCCTTCTCTAGACTAGAGGTGTCCCCTCATTTCTGGCAGAGACCCAGATTTTCCATGCAAATCCACACACTGGCTTGGTTTTCAGAGATTAACTGGCAGTCTTCCATAGAGTCTCCTAATTGCAATTTTATGTTTAAGGAAATAAGTGACAATTTTAACTATGATAACATGCAGCTATCGAGTTTACACTTTTTTAGCACATTCTGCCAAGAAATGGACAGTGAATATGAGACACTATTCCCCCACTGAAGAACCCTGGTTGGCAGAAATAAATGTGCTCTTAGGAACTGTGAAAAGGGGGTAAGGAAATTTCTTCCTGACACTGATAATGCTGATAAAGACCATTTCTATCATTTCAAATGTCTGGTATATCTCAGCAACACCCTCAATTTTTTTTAGACAAGCCTGAATTTATCACTTCAGGGATAAACTACAGCCAATTTTCAATGGTGAGAATGAGATGTTAGGATTAAAACAAAACAAGACGTACAAATGCCTCAGCCACTGGGAATTTGACTCATTTCCAAAATTTAATGATTTGCTTTTTTTAATTAGAGAAAGCAAAGCAATGAAAATCTTGGGTATGTTTAAAAGCCACATCAAGGGGCTGCAATAAAATAAAGAATTGCTTGACGGAACACAACTTCAATCAAAGTAGATCAGGAATTTAGTTGTTACTAGTCCAAGTAGACCCAATCAAACTGCCAGCCTTAAAAATTTAAGAGACTTAGTCACTTAGTCATTAAATCTCTCCATTAACTCTAGGTTCATATTAGACCTGAATATCCAGAACTATCTGATGAAGTCATCAAATACTTGCTGACATTCTCAATCACCTATAATTATAATTTTAGTCCTATAATTTAGTAGCAATAAAGAGGCAGAAAAGAAACATACTGGTGTAGAACCCAGTACTTAAATTATTGAGCCAAAAGTTTATCAAAAGAATACACTGAGTAACCAGTAAAATAGTTTGGGGTTAACAAATGTTTGAGAAATGCTGATCAGAGTGTTGGTGGAATGAATGGCTGAGGGCATTCTCTGGGATGCACAAGTCCTGAAGAAGATGAAAGAGCACCTCCAAGAAGTTTTTTCTGGTTGTAGCCATAGAAAATTGGGAATAAGTGTTGACACCTGGTGCAAGAGAGGAAGTGTTACAAGTCCTAGGATTTGCATTTGATAAAGACGTGAATATGGGGATGACTGAGCCTTTTGAGACTTCAAACATAACTCATGAAAATAATCACATTAGTGTAAAATAAACTGCATTATTACTCAACATTTTTTTCTAACAGCATGATAATGGGTCTGAAGACTTTAATTCTGCCAAATGATGCTAACAATTTTCCCTCATAACAATTTTTACTCATTAAAATTTCATCCTAAACTAGACTGAAAATACTGCATGTTTGCATGGTATTCAAGTTACCTTCTCTCAATGATTACCTTGAGAGAGCCCAATGAGTTTCAGAAAAAAAGAAAATAACTATTTTTGATATTCACATATTTTTGTGAGCCTGAGGTCTAGAAATTTTGGATATCCAGTATGATGTTATCATCGTTCAATTCAGCCCCACTTTCAAACCTGACTAACTCAATAAAATTGCATCTCGATGAGTACAGC